TTGATTTGATCAATTTGATAAATTTTAAGGTTTAATTGTACTTTTAGAAAGTTTTGAAATTCAATTGCATTTTTATAATAAATTTTAAAATTTAATTGTCACGCACTTTTTCCTAAACTTCATGATGGCTTTTTGAATGAGCACGTGTACTATACAGTTATCCCAGCTTTTGTAGGTTTGAAAGGTCAAAGGGTCAAAACTGCTTCATGAAATGAATAGTCAATAGATGCCATCATTACTAGCAAAATGCACTTTTGTTCCCAAGAACTTGCATGAGAGCTTTTAGTTGCGATGGCATGTCAAATTATTATTACCATCTCTTTTGTAGCATCATGCTTCTTGTTCTTCTAGGAGTGAACAAAACGCTTTGTTTTTACGCCTAATTAAAACCCATTGGAATCTAATCGATAAAGTCACTAAATCAGTCTGTCTGTCGTGATCCCTACGGGCCAATACTCTTAGTAAAGTTAGTCTAATAAAAAAAACATAAAATTAGTCTGCAACATTGGGTTAATCACATTTGCAAATAATTTAGGCTCTGCTTGTTTGCTGGAAAATGAATTATTTGAAAAGCATTTTTTTCAAAAATACTCGTTTGTATCGCTTACAAAAATAAATAAATAAAAAATATTTTCATCATTCACGAAAATATTTAGGTATAAATTGTTGTCGACTATAGAATCAACTATTTATTTCAAGTGGTATAATCGTACAAACGATCATTTTTATGAAAATGATTTTCAAATCATCCATTTTTCGTGAAACAAACGGAACTTTAGAATCTACATGAGACACAAAATGAGTTTTCAAGATAATTCTTCTTACATTTAATAGAGATGGCTGCATTCTTTAGATAGATTGCTTTGAAGAAAGGGTAAAAACATGTAACAAAAGGCCACTATTATGATTTTCACTTAGAGTCACCTCGCAACTTGAATTTTGACGAGCAAAACTCGGATTTTCAGAACTAACTTAGAGAGCAATGTGGCACACTGTGTATATTTAGACATGTGATCCGTATTATAGTACCAAACTGAATTTTTGCCAAATCACTTTATATACTCGGAAAACTGATCGTCCATGGATTTTTCTCTTACTCAAGTTGTTACTTATAAAATTAGCTTACTAGCATTGCAAGACTTAAGAAATCTCTCCATTAACAATGGATGGAAGCGGGATGGGTACAAATAGGGTACCTGACTTGCGCGATGTCTAATTGGACGGATAGCGGGTTTAGAAAAGTAGGCTATGTTTGGTGTCAATTACTAAAAACCCTATAGCGCCAGATATTTTCACATTCTATTAGAAATCATTCATTTTTATTTCAAGCGATCATTTTTAGGATAATGTCTTTCAAATCATTTATTTTCTACGAAACAAATATAGCATAAATATAATCACCAAAGACAAAAAGAAAAGAATATGAATATACATATTAGAGCTCTCTTTTAGAAACAACTTATAATTGGGAAAATTAGTAAAAAGTCCTAAACCTATTGTTTTTTTGCCAATTGAGTCATAAACCTTTCAATTTTGCCAATTGAGTCCTAAATATTTTCACATTTTGCCGATTGAGTCCATCCGACCAATTTTAGCCAAAAATCACTAACGTGGACACTAGCTGTCCTACATAACATGAGCAACGCTGACATGGACAATTTTAAATAAAAATTTAATATTTATTTGAATTTTTTATTATTTTTTCTTTCTTTCTTTTTCTTCTTTTTCTACCAAGCCCCGGGGAGGGCTCACTATCCCTCGCCAAACTTGATAAAAAAAAAAGGAAAAAAAATTATAAAAAAGTTATAAAAATTGCTCACATCAATGTCGGCTGTCCTACATGGCATTACCGATGTCCACGTCAACCCAGTTAAAATTGACCAAATAGACTCAATTAGCAAAATATGAAATGGTTTAAAACTCATTTGGCAAAATTTTGAAAGGTTTAGAACCGAGTTCGCAAAAGTTTAATATATTTAGGATTTTTTGGACAATTTTCACCTTATAATTACTTACCATATGGCATATAATCAATTAAATCAAGCATCCTGGAAAACCCTCTCCATAGATCATTGCTTCATTATAGGGTCTTGCTTCAACTTTGACAAATTTGCAAATAGCTTGGTTTACGGCAGTAGTTACCAAATCTAGTTCCAATGTTTAGTAACTTAAGTTAATAGGTGGAAGAAAACTGCATATATAAAGAGTATATGAACTTTGTAAACAAGTGATATAGGATACTTTAACATAATGGCATTTATTATGATTTTAGGAGGACTATTTCGATAACCAAAATGACTGATGACGGTGCTCTCATGAGTGGATGCACACTGAGAAATTGTGATAATGTGCAATAACGTATGCTGGCTGTGGGACCATCTGTTAAGTTTCAGTTGCATCTGTTAATCAAGCTATTGGTCATCAAAGTCTGTTGACGATTCATTATCATCTTGAGTTTGAGGTGGATATTTGAAACATTATTTAAATGAAGAATTTTCTTATTTGCGTCTAACCTCTTGTAATGTTTTATTAATTTGATTGTTTATGTAACCTACGGTCCTACACTTAGATTAGATTACTCTTTTCTTGTTTCTACATTTTCGCCTCTAGATGTAATTTTCTTTTTGGTGAATACAAAATAGTCTTTTTCACTTTTGTGTGTGTATATATATTACCAAGATTATGACAATTCCAGGGTATTGAAGTCATGTGTCTATCCATAAGGAAAAGTGTCAGAAAAGTCCTAAATTTATTGCATTGGTGTCAATTTAGTCTTAAATCTTATAACCTAGAGCCAATTCAATCCTTTCAACTAATTTTGGTTAGACATTCCTGACATAGACGCCGGTTGGCCTATGTGACATGACCGACACTGACGATGACATTTTTATTAATATTTTAATAATTTTCAAATTTTTTGTTTTTTCTTTCTTTGTTTCCTCTTCTTTCCTCCGGTCGCCGGTGAGGGCTGGCCTTGCCTAAGTGACCGACGAAAGGAGAGGCCGGCAAGGCTCCAGCCCTCGCTGTCTCTAGCGAGGGCTCAAACCTCACTAGTGGCTGGGTGAGGCATGACCTCACCCATGGCTGGCGAGGCTTGACCCTAGCTAGCCCAGCGTGAGGCCGCCATTGTGACCTCTGGTGAGGGCTTAAGCCTTGCCAGTGGTTGGGCGAGACACGACCTCTCCGAATCTGGCAAGGCTCGACCCACGCCGGAGGCCACGAGGTCAAGGCTCACCTTCACCGACCCTCGCCTCTAACCAATCACCAAGGTCCGGCGACCAACTTGAGGAAGAAGGAAGGGAAGAAAAAAAAAAGAGAAAGAAAAGAAAAAATAATTCGAAAAGATATTAAGATATTATTAAAAGTTGTCCACGTCAGTGCCGGCCGTGCCCGGTAGGCCGACCGACGTCCAAGTCAGCAATATCCGAGCAAAATTAGCCAGAGGAATTAAATTTGATTTAGGTCAAAGGGTTTAGGACTAAATTTGCACCATTAAAATGTTTAGGACTAAATTTGCACCAATGAAATAAGTTTAGGACTTTTCTGACACTTTTCCTTCTATCCATCTCGTTAGAAAAAAGTTTTCTCCGACAAGTTACCCTAGGCCACCGTTTCATCACCGTTTCATCGAATCAAATGACAAAAAGAATAACACGTTAGCTTGCAGCAAACATGGACAATTCTCCAAGCACATAAAACTTGGCATCATTCACATTCGGAAAGGAATTCGAACATTCGACAAATGGTTATAACTTTACTGAATCAAATAAGACTTTAATTCACTCATATTCACTTGGAAATATAATATTGGTAAAATTTTGAGTGCAAGATAAGGGAAAGACTCAACAAAGTCCTGAAATTTCTGAATGAAAGGATTTAGACAAACCAAGTGCCTCGAATACTTTAGGGTCTGGAACAAAACCTAACATCATGAAATTTACTCAGAAGAGAAAATACATTTTTTCACTTTTGGAACATATTTAAACAAATTCACACAAATTAATTAATCGAATAATCCCACCCCACTCCCTTTATTTTCAGGTGCATCAAACCCATGATTATGTCTTTCAAACCAAATGATAGAGAAGGAAGAGAGAGGCAAATCCGAATGACGAGCAGAAGATAGCATTCAAAAAGATGAAAAGAATTAAAGGGGAAAGAGCTAAAAGGAAAACCAACAGTATCTTTTAGTACCAATTCAGCCTAAGAAAATCTCATCAAAATATCCTAGAAAATCAAAGAACTAACTCAAAATAAGATTATTGGGGCCTTGGTATAACCTTGTCATGAATCCTGAGCATTCTCGTGTGATGCCTCGCCCAATACTCTTTTAGTGACTGGGAAATAAACTTATAGGTGCATAAATTAGTCACACCGCATGGTTTCAATTTCGTATATCACCAACTATTTAAAAAAATTCACGTTGGCCTACATCTTATCTAGTCTATAAGGTTAGCGGGTTGGGTTCACTTATATTAATTAATTCCTATAATAGACATAATCTTGGTGTTATTATTTATAATAACCTACTGGCAAAAGGGTAGAAATAGTTGGAAACGATGTCCCAATCGATCGTCATTTTTCTTCGATATATGTAGCTATTTCGGAAGAATCCTAACGGTATCAAAAGAGATCATGCGAAGATAAAATTGAAAAGGTATGCAACGCCTTAACACCCCTTTTCCGGACATGCAACAGTGCCAGTCAAATGCTGCATAAACTAATCCACGAAATCTTGGCTGGACTACATCTAATGACAACAATCATATGATCTTGTCTTTAGCTGAATCCGCCTTAAAAAGAAATAACGAATGTTTCAACCCTAATGGCGCACAGTATCCTAGATATGCTGTGCTTTGATGGTGAGATTTCAATTTCAATAGCATTAAAGTATAATTGGCCAAATTTAGGGCACCCCCACTTGGCCCACCTATAGAAAAAAGGCAACTAAAGAAAGGGAAAAGGCTAGAAATAAATGTTAAATTATATTGGGCCATGGAATAAAGATAATTAGCTGGAATTAGTACCCAGCTATTGGGTCCACAAGTGGGTCCTAGCCACACAAAAGCAAGCCACATGGCATAGCTTGATTTTGCCGGCCCATACATTCCTATTTCCCCTCTCTTCAAAACCCTCTATCCTTTGAATGCTCGCTCACTCTCAACTCAATCCAACTCCATCGCAATCTCTCTGCCTCTCATCAAACAAGTTCCATATCTCCACTAGAGGGTGGCCTCACCACCACCACCTATGGCCACCGCTTCGCCAGCTGTGGTAGCCGCCTCGACCGACACGAGCCAACCATGTGCCGACGACTCGGCCGACGACCTACGGAGCCTCAGCTTCAATTCTGCAACGACGGCAGTTGATACCGTAAAACGTAGCCCGAGCTCGGGGTCGGAGACGACGTGGACCGCCTCGAGCATCTCCAACTCGTTCGTCAAGCCCCACGCGCCATCCGACGACCCGCGCTGGGATGCGATCCGGCGCCTGAGGAAGGCCCGCGATGGCTCCAAGCTCGGCTTCGACGACCTCCGGTTCATGTACCGGCTCGGGAGCGGCGACATCGGGAGTGTGTACCTGGTGGATCTGAAGGGCGGCGGTGAGTGCATGTTCGCCGCCAAGGTGATGGACAAGAAGGAGCTGGCTGGCAGGAACAAGGAAGGCCGGGCAAGGATAGAGAGGGAGATTCTGGAAATGTTGGACCATCCCTTTTTGCCCACCCTCTACGCCACGTTGGATTGTCCGAGGTGGTCTTGCCTGCTGACCGAGTTCTGCCCCGGCGGGGACCTCCACGTTCTCCGGCAACGGCAATCAGTGAGGCGGTTCGGTGAATCGGCTGTCCGGTACGTCGAATTCGTTACAATCCACATTAACATAATCTCTTGGCCCCCCTAAGAGATTATGTTACAACTGTTTCACTTTGAAGTTGAATTTCTGTTTCTTGGCATTGTGTGGCGAATGAGCGTGATGAACGAAAGATGATTTAATAATCAAGGGGAGGACCACAAATTGAAAAGTTCACGAGGATTATTAATGGGGCATGTGGGAACCGATTGGGTTTTGTTGGATCAGAACATGGGACCGATTTTGATTGCGGGCATGAGCCACCAACAAAGTATTAAGTCGTGTCTGTCGTGCACTGTGAATCATAATAAATGCAACCATTTGATGCAGTAAAGTACATACTAAGGTCTCCTTCTTCTGCAATGATTACTGCTCCATTACCAGTTCTGGTGAATCTTTCAGACGAATTATATTGTTGCTGGTACCAAACTTTCACCCCTAAAGTTTTGCTTTTAAAAAAGAGTGATTTCCTTTCCATCAAAGCAATTTCCTTATCAAATGTATATATAAATACCAAGTTCGAAACGTCAAGGATTTACCAAAATCGTGAAAAGATTTTTGAGTGTTTTAAAAGAATTATGTTGAGGGTTTTGTTCACGAGCCCCTCCTAAGGTGCTCTTTAACCATACCTATTATGGAAATGATTTTGATTTTCAATGCACTGATTACACATTACACGAAAAAGATGGTACATTAGAAATAATAAAATCTTTATGTTAATCACATGCCATATATGACGAAGCATGAAATGATTTTCATTTCATTGTCTTTTCCCCACCAAAAAAAATATTTGTTCAACCAACATTTTATAATGCTCCGATCGGACGAACTGAAAATGTTGTTATTTGTAAATTGACCTCAGTATCTCTCTGAAAAATCGAGACACCCACATTCAATGATTGATATAGTTAAGCTTTAATCTGGCCAAAAAAGTATAATTAAGCTTTGATAAAAAAAGAAATGTCCCTTCTAAGGAGCTTTTTCAGACCCTCAAAAAAGAGAAATTCTGTGTACTAGAATTACGTGGATTGAAAGATTTTTTTGTGGTTGGATTGTGTGAGGCCCACTCAAATTATCAAATATTACAGATTTGAACTAGTAGTTATATGCCATGCACTGACTTTGCATGGCATGGCAAAATACATAAAGACAAAAACATTAGTACTCTTTGGCCTTAACACCTCTCTCTCTAGACAATACAATTTATTATCATTCTTTCTTCTTTTTTCTTTTTTTTTTTGTCGGCTAGGTGTATTTCTAAACTTTGAAATCCCTCTATGAATAGCTTGGCGGGCCCCTAGTGGGCCCACGTAAAGAAACCGTGTAAACCTATAAGTCCCCCCTATTTGGAATGGAGTTTCGAACTTTCCACCTCTACATTCCCGTTCCCACGTGAAAATGATGGCCACTATATTATTATTCCAGTTTAACTATAGTCTCGTCATCAAAATCCGATTTCTTTATTGGTCCTTCTAAAGTTGGAAATTTCTCTTTTGTCACGTCCTTAGGGTTTACCACTTTCTCACTTTTTATTTTGTTGGGTGGGGGCATGATTTGTGAGATTCTTCTTACATCATTCCCCTCTTTTTTTCTCTTGGATTGACATGCCATAAAGAAAACGAAACATAATCAAAGGGGCCCCCGCGATTCAAATCTCTCCTTGGCCTGCTTGAACGCCATGATGTAACCCGCCACGGACCACCTACCTTCATGATTTCTTGTCATTACGCACATTCTCTCCTCTTCATTGAGCTTCTCGAACATGGCAGACATCTTTCGTAGACTTAGAATTATGTATCTCTTGTCTCACCCGCATGCCTTGGTACTACAAATCCAAAGATTATTTATGTTTTGCTGGTCATATTATAAAGTTTCTAATTCATTATTGTTTTAACTAGGTTTTATGCATCGGAAGTGGTGGTTGCACTAGAGTACCTACACATGATGGGGGTCATCTACCGCGACCTCAAGCCCGAAAACGTCCTCGTCCGATCGGACGGCCACATAATGCTCACGGACTTCGACCTTTCGCTCAAGAGCGACAACCCCGCATCGACGGCTCAGCTTGTCTCCGGTCAGGACCCGCAAGCTGGGGGCCCCACCAGTGACAACCAGGCCGAGCCCCCTCCGTTCGCCGACTCATCGTGCATCATCCCCAGCTGCATAGTCCCCGCCGTGCCGTGCTTCCACCCGAAGCGCAAGCGCAAGAAGAAGCCCAGCGCCCGAGGCACCCTTGAGATCGTGGCCGAGCCGATCGACATCCGGTCAATGTCCTTCGTCGGGACCCACGAGTACTTGGCGCCGGAGATCGTGCTGGGGGAGGGGCACGGCAACGCGGTGGACTGGTGGACGCTGGGGGTCTTCGTCTTCGAGATGTTCTACGGGGTGACGCCCTTCAAGGGGATCGACAACGAGCTGACCCTGGCCAACATCGTGGCCCGGGCCCTCGAGTTCCCCAAGGAGCCGTCGGTCCCAGGGCCGGCGAAGGACCTGATGGCGCAGCTCCTGATCAAGGACCCGGCGAGGCGGATGGGGTCCACAATGGGGGCCACGGCCATCAAGCACCATCAGTTCTTTGATGGGGTCAATTGGGCATTGCTAAGATGTACTAAGCCACCCTACACTCCAAGGCCGATTGATTACAAGGACTTGGTGAAAGCGGATAGCAGCGCTGATAATTCAGTAGAGTATTACTAGGGAAATCAATTAAGGAGGATGTAATTTAAGCAAATCCTAAGCTTGTTTCTCACACTTTCCACAGCTCAGACCGTGCACGAGTCAAATCACATTGGGTAAAGCATGCCTTGGATGCCAATCCTGATTGGAGGAGGAGACCCACTTCCTCTTCTTATCTCTGATCTTTATCCCTAATCTGTCTACGTCCATCCTCTTAAAGAAACTTTTTGGGACAGGTGGGGCTTCAATCTTTAGGACTCTCGATAATGTCGATCTAACTTTGGGGATGATGATGCAACAACGTGTTGCTTGCAAGGTCAATCGAAGTTTTGATATTAAATCAGAGACTAGCTCGTCATTCACGGAGAAGAGACTTGAATTTGATAAGACAAAGCATAAGAAAAAGAAGGTACATCTCGTTGTATTAAAGAGAAAAAAAATTGATGTTTAAATAGTCATATGGTGCATATATTAGAGAATATGTTGTACATAATATTGCGCAAATTTGGGTTATTCTCTGATCTTTATGCATGTGCCGTAAACGTATATAAACACACAAGCGTGTGCCGGGGACCTGATAAAAAATTATGAAGTTTGGAAAACAATTAACTTTAAGCAATAATAAATGCAAAACATGTTAATGATCAACTGTTGGTGGTGAAATTTTTCAGATAAAAAGGAAGCACTGTGTAAATGTTCTTTTTTGGAAAATATATCAAGGGAATTCTCAATATGCATTCGTGGGTAAAGATAAACTAACGATTTTTTTTAAAAATAAATTATACTATTGCATATTGCCACAATATCAAATGATTTTCTTTGTGATATTGTCGTGGACAATGAGATACCCATAAACTCTTGCCAAAATAAAAGGGTGGGCATTAAATAGTTACCAAAAAGATGAGAGAGAATTTTTCATAAAAAAAAACCCAAATATATGAAATTTGGGAGGTGATTAATTATTTTGTGTAATGTTTTTAATATTATCGCTCTTGCAAGTTTTAGTCTCGATATCGGTGTTTTGAATAATACAATAAATACAATTTTAGACCAGCGCAGTGGACGGACATTACACTGGTTATAGAAAAGAGGATGTATTAGACTGTTTGATTCATAAAAGGACCTTAGTGTGCATTGTCAACCAACCCCAAACATGGAATGCATTGAGGGAATGTGGGGGAGAGGGAGGAATTACTCCTTTCTATTTCTTGCCCCATTCTTGCAATTTTGCACTTAATCAAAATGATTATTTTGACACGAAGAGACAGTCCACATTATGGAAGCACATGGCCTCTCCTTTAGATCAGACTGCAATGATGAATCTTGTCACCATGTGGGATCAACATCTTAAACACGTTCAAACCCAACTTCATTACCCATTGACTTAGTTCATGACCAATGCCGCTTCTAGCTTGAATGAACATGCAATGATTCAGTACCCCGCTGAGAAGGCCTAGCCCTCCATGCTCCGGATACACTTAGAAAATCAGAAGAAAGAGAATAAAAAGCGTTTGCCCTTTTCTTGGACCATCTTCCCACAGTAAACAGAGCATCTTCTCTTTCACATCATGTGTTCATCATTCCATTTAGCAGCAGCAGCAACAAACCAAGCCCTTTTGTTTTTCCCTCTGTTGGTAAATATTAAGGCAAAAAAGAAAAAAAAAAACAATGCATTTTTCTTGTTCTTATCAGAAGGAGGTTTAGCTTTCATCATGCACTGCAAAATTTGATTTCTTTAATTTAAAATTGCAGTGCTGAAGATTTGAACGCAGATAAATGAAGTTGGAACACAGAAAAATAGAGGACAATGACCTACTCTTGCCAGAAAAGATGCTTTATCTTCACGCATGCTTGCAGATAGATATGCCGCATGACAAAGGTAGATAAATGGTACTTGTAACTAGTCATCCATTGCTTTATTTTGTGTCAAGCTCTCTTTCACCAAATGATTGAAGTGATCCATCAATTTTGATCATCAATCGAGACATGATTCGTTTAATTCCATTTCCAAATTCCATATAAATGAAGAGAGTAGTCTTTTAAGCTTCGCGGCCTACCACTATGGCTGCAAACTTGTTTTGGAGGAGCCGATAAATTCCATATCAACTCAACAAATGATCTCAGCCATCCGGAAATAATCACAAGTACACACTAACTAATCAATCGTAAAACGATTCATTGGTCATACGTTAGTAAAAACTGTTGAACTCCACGAGTAAGATGCCATCGATGCCTAAGGCGCACATAATCACAAGGAGTTATTTCTTCTTAACTAGCATTCGAGCACATAAAACACTTGACAACTGAGTTCATGTGAACTAGAGTCTAAGCTCACTTAATAATCGAGTTCATGTGAACTAGAGTCTAAGCTCATCGAGATTGAGCATATTTATAAATCACTAGCGCCATTAAAGCGAATGGAGCAAAGAGATTAGGCAGTGGCCACCGCTTCAGCAGGCTTCACTTCTTCGGCGGGCTTCACTTCTTCGGTGGGCTTCACTTCTTCGGTCAGCTTCACTTCGGGTTGGGCAGGGGCTTCCGCTTCCCAGAAAGCAGTTTGTTTTCCGGACTTTGAGACGGTTTGCAGGACAGCATCGGGCTGCAAATCGCTCTTGACTGTCACCTTCTGTTCCTTCAGATCGATGTCAAATGATTCCACACCTGAATTTGCAATTTTTTTGCAGTTTCAGGATCAGAGTAGGTAATACCAATCAATTTTGCAACCACATTATTTTCAGCAAGTGAAGATTCTAGCACACAGATGTAAGATCGAAGAGTGGAAAAATGCAAATTAAGAATGCTATCAACGATGTCAAATTATTCATGTTTCTGCTGTTTAATTGGTCTTCAAAACCATTTTGAAAAATATGGGCAATACAACTGATATATCTATCTTAAGCACAATTCTACGACTGGCAAAGCAGGGGACATGCGAAGAAAGTTGGAAAAAAACATGTTGCCGAGCCAGAAAGTAAACAATTTTTTAACTGCTGACGATTTGGAGATTGCAGATTCCTTATTTGTTGCTTTTCACAACCAACCGCTAGTTGGAGGAAAGGCAAATTCTAAGGTATTTTAAATATACTTGTGAAAAGTAGACTTGAAGAACAAACTTCACATAGCAGGGAAGCGATACAATGCAAAACAACCATAATGTCCTGCTTATGTGACCAAAACAAGGACAGATTGTTGAGCAGAAAACAGGAAACAAACAGAGCATGCACGACTAGCGAACCTTCCATTTTTTCCAGCACCCTCCTGACAGCTCCAGCGCAGCCTTGACATGACATGCGAACCTTGAGAACAACAGTCTGCGGGAGTAAAACAAAGTATCAGAAACCAAAAAAGAGGAAAACAATATAATGGTTTCCTTTTCCTTATAAGAACTCCAAATGTAAAGAGGGAGAAGTCAAGAACAAGACAATCCAGACATAAGGAAAGAACAGATCAATACAAACTTTGGAATTCACAAAGACCAACTGAACTTGTGCGCTCAGATTACATATGACTTCACACGGGTCACTTAAAAGTCAGTACTTTACTATTTTGAACAACCAAGCACAACCAGATCAACATTCATATTAGTGCAATCAGCTGAGCTCCTCTATGAAGCCACGGTAGAAGATAGATTATCCCCAAAATTAACTTTTTAAGAAGCCTTCCTATTTGTTCTGGAACGACAGATTGTTTTTGGGGATGACACTCCTGCTTCGTCGTTGCCTCAGTGGGATTCATGTTCGTGTCAAAATTGTTGCATTTGTTGGGATACTTATAAGTACTTCCATCTCTTAGTAATCTAAATAATCTTAGAATTTGGTTGGATAGATAAGACATTAAGCTCCTAAAGAAAAAGTACTTTCGATGGCATTTCACAGAGAAGTTGAGTGACTCGAGTCTTAACATTCGACCTCCACACTGGTATGTGTATTTAACCAAGGGTGAAATGTTACAACCACCTCTTGGACAGCACAGAAAGGACGAAAACCCTATAGATCAAGGCACGCATTTAACTAAATCAAGAGGGAAAAGTGGGGAAAAAAGTCCCATGTGCTGGTATCATCTCAAGTACAGCTACTCGGTAACCACATCTCTCGTATATCTCCTTTGCAACTTTTTTTCTATCAGACAAAAGGAGATGGGGATAATTTGGAAGCTCTGAATTCTGGGATTTAACACTTTTGCAGCCCACCCAACAGGATTTTAACAAGCTAGGAAAGAAACAGAAAACTTTGCCACATTAATTCAATGACATAACACAACACTCATCCTCAATTACTCGAGCATAGACTCATTTCAATAATCACAGTCATTCCAATTTTAAAATCGCCGATGTTCAGGATTAAAGCATCACGAAATAACCCCTCGATGCTTTCAGAATACCTTGAGTGCTTTATTTCATTGACAGCTGACATAAGCAGAGCATAGTATTTGCAGCCAAATCACAGGCTCATCCAAAATATTCAGTCCAATTACAACCAGTCTACATGCGTATTCACGCATCATGAGCTAAACAGGCAATCAAAAGGTGCAAGCTCCTACAAAGAAGCCATCTTGACTTCTCAGTCAAATCAAAGAAAGCATGCCTCAGGCACCGAAAAAAAAAAAAAAACCAATGATTACCTCGAAAAAAAAACTCATCTTTGGGCAACAAGAATTTTGCCCATTCACACACAGAAGAGGAAAAAACAATCCGACCAAACTCTCGAAAACAAGAACACCAACAATGATCAAAGCATTCGTAAACTAATTGCTGACATCAGATGAATACCTGAGACATGGTTCTGAGCCTGAAGAACGAAAGATAAACCAGAAACAGAGGAAGACTTTGAAATTACGGTTCTTTTTTTTTTTTTGTGGCGTCTGAGGGTTGAAATTGGGGTATCCGGTGGTGGTCCTTATAAAGGAATCGATAGGACAGAAGGGTCGGTTCGGTTTGGTATGGAGGGCTGGGTGTCGGGTCCACGGCTCGAACCCAATGACCACCATCATATTGAATTGTCGATTCAAAGTTACCGTAACGTTTAAAACACCCTCTTCCCACTCGAGTCTTGATTGGCAGGTGGACAGGCGAGATTGCAAGTGTCAGGGGTGCTTTGTGGAATACATGTCACATTCTTTATTTGCCTTTTGGTTCGAGTTGGATGCCCACTCATTCAGGTCCGTTCATGATATGAACAAAAACAATGTTTTGCATGGCGTGATTGGACGCACGCGGCGTTTTGAGTGGGCCTACGTGGGTTGGTCCTTCCGATTTATTCTTCAGGCCTAGTGAGCCACTAAGGTCATGATCAGGTCTGTTACCTATGGAGTTCATTATGTCGAAATTCCTTTTTTCTAATATCTTGCAACACACGCAATATGACTTCCATTTATCACGGGATACACGAATTATCCAAGATAGGTCACACGAAATCGGATGATGCGATTAGAATCAGATTCGTGATAAGATTAGCGGTGAACAAGATTCGGCCGTCAGAACTCTCCCCAAGATTTTGGGCGGTACGGGAATATCAGGGAGAGAGGGTAGTACAAGGCCTCTCAGTTTGCGGTACCAAAGTACGGAGAAAACAAGGGTGCCTATAACTGCCTGTGGGGCATCTTGTCCTACTTTCTGGTAGGATAGGTTGGTGAACCGTTCATTGCCCTACTTTCTCTTTTTGCCTTTATTAGTTTATATTTTTTTTCAAGAATTAATACCATGAAAAATTTCAAACTGATACATCTGTGATAATTTTATCCCAAACTAATTTTTTGACCACTAAAAACCCTCAAACTGGTACACCTGTGACAATTTTACCCCGCATTAGTTTCCGTTAAATTTTACTGCTAAATTGCTTTGTTAAATGACACATGTTAATTGACGGATATACCAGTTTTGAATTTTACCCTCTATTTATCACAGATGTACCAGTTTGTGATTTTTTTTTTCATTAATCCAATTTAACTGAAATTAACGGAGGGTAAATTTGTCACAAATGTACCAATTTGGATTTTTTTGTGGTCAAAAAATTAGTTTGGGGTAAAATTATCATAGGGGTACCAGTTTGGAGTTTTTAATGATCAAAAAATTAGTTTGGGGTAAATTTATCATAGGTGTACCAGTTTTGGGTTTTTTGTGGTGTTAACCCTTTTTTCAAAGCAAGAATACCATAGCGGATCCTAATCTCATTTTTGGATGCGATAGAGAGTTTATGAATTGGATACTCACATAACCACTCATTGATCAATCATGCCTAAAGTATCATAATGAGACATGGCCATTGTGGAATGGGCCGCGTAGACACCTAATTTTTTATTGGGATTTTGGACCACATTTTGATCGGAATTCCACCCGCCAATATCTCTGTCGAATGGTATAACGGGATCGTGCTCAGCGAAAGCCTTTTAATGACACCCAATTTTGGCCAATTTGGTCGTGTATGATTGTGACTGTCCGATCTTGATGTGTTCGGGGAAATCACGATTTCACGGACTAGATGATAAGAACACGTGGATCTGATGGAGAGATTTTCAATGTCTTAAGAATCACTTCGATCAGAGTTTTCTAGACAAACAGACGATCAAAATTGGGTCGAAAGTCAGAGGAAAATGCACATTTTAGATGTTTAAAGAACAAACAAGAAACGGCGGCGGCTTTCAAGTTTCAATCGGGCAGTCCCGAAACTGCCACGACGTAGTTGCAAGGTCGGCCCGGCGGTGCACGGCGCAGGCCTGGCCCTATGCGGGGTTGGCTAGGCAGTACGCAAGGCCGAGCTGGGCCTTGCCCAGGGCCCAAGTAGCCTTGCACTAGGCCATTTTGGCCTTTTGCAAAATTGTCTGAGCCTTTTACAAGGCTATTTAGGCCTTGCACAACCCTACTCGCTCTAGTCTTCAAAAATTTCCCATAAATAGGGGCTCCCATTTGCATTTTTTTTTTTTTATATTTATAAAAGGGAAGTTTACTCTAAGCTCTGTTTCTCTCTTGAATAGGAATTCTCTCACACTCGAGGTTCTTTTGATTTGTGAAGATTGTTTTGCGCGCATGGTACATGTGTATATATAGTAATAATGTCGGAGTAATTTTTTTTAGATCAAGAAACCCTGTCCTTATGCTATTGAGGTAGCAAGAAAATTCTAATAGCAAAATAGGTTCATACACCGAGGGTTAGGCCAAATGAAGGGGTGGATACCCTCAAGGACGGTGTGCTCTGTGCATGTGATTAGTTTTTATAATCATTTTGAACAATTACAGAATTTATTGAAAGATGATTTTAAAAAAATTTGGCATCTGTGCATTGAATGTTGTTAATTAAACTCTAGAATGAAAGGTATAAAATAGCTCATCACTGCATTGTGAACAAAATGTTGCATTTGAATCAAGCATATCATGATTATGTATGTCAATAGTACAATTACGCAACATGCATGAATTAACCTGTAAATGCAAGAAAATACTCGTTTTGAGATCCCATGCTCCGCGAACTTGCGTGCTACTATGAAATCAAACATTGCTTTGAGTTTATATGCTGACTTCGAATCATCCGCTATCGTGGTAAAGTTACATGAGATTGAACGTGGGTTGGCGACGATTGCATGCCAATGCCGACCGTACGCTGATATGATTTGATTGAATGTTGTCTTAATGGGATTAGATTCGTCCCTGTTCGTTACTAGCACACTTTTTGCATACGTGAAGTGTATTTATTCAGCATTGAATTCACACCACTCTATCAACAACACCAAATTGAATAAGCATTGGCTCACTTTATTTATCAGTCAACACAAAACAACAAATCACTAATATTTACTCTTTGTCGACTAAGATTTATCACGTGACAATCCCTAACTTTTCCCTCCACTCTGTTGCCTTTTAGTTTATGTCAATTGAGAAGCAAAAGTGAAGATCGAATTTGAGAAATATCGAAGCCCTAATTTGTGATTACATAGAGAGATTGATTTGGGATTTTGGGCGTACTGAGAGAGTGCTAGTGAGAGCTCAATTTGCTTTAGAGACGAAATGTTGAGGAATCGAACAAAATCAAAGCCCTAATTTGCGATTATCTCATAGAAATTGATTAGAGAGAAAGATAGAAGACGACATGCACAAACATGAGGAAGACGACGTATGAGTGAGAAGCCCCAATTTGCCAATGAGAGCGATGTCGTCGTTTTCAGGTTACTGCACGCACATAAACGACCTTGTTTCTATTTTAGAGAGAGACATATTTTTACACAACGTACAAAACGATGTCATTTCTCTCCAAGTGGACAAAAATTTCCACGTAAGAATTCCATTTATTTTATAAAATTCCACATCGGAATGCAAAATTAAGTGAAAAATGCACGTAGGAAGATTTGTTAGAAATGACGCTCAAATGATCGATTTTACTCCTACGTGGCATTTAAGTGAGCGAAAAAAAAAATTACAGTACTCAAGTGAGCGTAGTACAAAAGTTATGATACTTGCGTTGTTCTTATCCCGGCTCATAACACACTTATCTTAAAGTTTTGGCATCGCGGCCTAGGAGATAATCATGTGCAGCCATTGCACACTTGCACTGTTTTTCACATAAAATAAGAAGTAAAATCACAATTTAAGGAGCGTTTGTTTCGTGGAAAACGCAAGATTTAAATAAACATTTTCCGAAAAATGATTGGTTATATCGCTTAGAAAAATTAATCAACAAAAAATATTTTTATCAACGAAAACAATTTATTCCTAATTATTTTTGTAGATGGTGAAAATGTTTTTCACTTATTCATTTTTATAAGTGTTACAAAATATTAATTTTCTTGAGTTTTTTATGAAACAAACACGCCATAATAAAGGGAATCAAATTTTCCATTGGGAATTTGAAGAAGTTCATCAGCTACATAGAAAAACATAATATGCATTTTGGGGAATCGCCGTGCTTACAACCTCACAAGATCCTATCACATCAAAGGACACCGTCCAAGCAATCGAAAGAATTGCCAACATGTCTTCAGCCACACATCTCACATCGGCATGCTCGAATTCCAAATGATTAGATTACATAACAAAAAGTCAACGGAACCAAACAATGGAACTGGGTTTGAATGCCATCACCTCACACTGATCCTCTCTACCTGCACTTTACCTACAATTCCTTTTCCATGTGATCTTGTTTTAACTGACCTCTTGAATTAATTACATTTGATACTCCTTTCAGCTGGCTCCACACTTGTAATCAACATTTGTTATGCAGGTTCTGTCGACGCCTTTCTCCGTCTCGCATGGCAACTGTCATTATTCTAAGCCGTCTTGAGTCTCATATGCTTGTCTTCGAGTGAAATGAATCTTTTCGGCGCGCCTGTACAGCACCAGTCTTTCCATAAGATTATGCAGATGAAATTGATGGGGTTCACAGTTGCACTGATAAGTTAGTATTTGGACTCTTGAGACTGTTCTTCTTGACAATGACTAATTCTTGGATCTTTATATCCATCACGGCACAAAATAACTAGAATTGAAGCAAAAAGACTGATTTGACTTTAATTAAGTTATCTGATGGCCTTCAAGATATAGTAAAATTTAGCAGTTAGCTGGACTGCTGATTGTTATAATTAATACAATAACGAGGAAATACATTATCGATACATTTGATAAAGTGAAATTTCATAGCAAGACCTCCTACGGGCAAAGGCTGGAGAAGTAACCTTAAGCTGCTTATCTAAGAATCAGCTCCCAAACTCTCCTATATTTACAACTTTGTCAGATGCAACTCCTCGAAAACAGAATTACTTCTCCAAGAGCTTATCCGAGGTACATGCAACCACGACACCCTCGGTCAAATTTCATGACTACATGAAAATTAGATGATTTGTAATTTATCCAGTACTGCTGCCAAGTAATGGTGCTTCTTGGTCATCTATGTTGTCCTGATCTGAGTTCTGGCTTGACCAATCTTCTGGTTTAAGCAGACAAGCGTACGCGAAAGACAGAACCTGAACATATAAATCGTTTTAAGAAATAATGTAATCAAAACTCTATTACTGGGTGACCCTTACCAAAAAAAAAAAAAAAACTCTATTACTGGGTGACAAACTGGGGCATCAAAAAAAAAATTTCCTCACCATGCATACAGAGGCACATACAATGCTAAAGCCCTTGCAGTTGAAGGGGGCATTATCTGATAGGAACCAAGCTGAGAAAATAGAATGTATAATGATTAGCATGGTCGGTTAGAGAAAATTCGGTTTCAAAATGCCAAAAGAAGATTAAAAGCAGGCAAGTCACCAGTCAAGGGACTCATGGCAAGGGGCGATAAAAAACTGGCTATTGCTTTTATACCAACTATGAGTCCTTGCGCCTTTCCCTGCAGGTAAAATCGAAACCGGCGTCTTTTAATCACTTGTAATGAGTTCAAAAGGGTAAGACCTTCATGACGCTACACATAGCAAAGTTTCTTGCATAAAGCCCAGATAATATGAAACTATAGACTGAACTATCAAGAAAAGAGCACATCATGAACTATAGACTGAACTATGCCGTCACACTTCCAGATGTTTAGATGCACTTTTTTTTTTACAGACACTGCATGAGTGCCACTAGTAGAAAAGGGATTCAAGAAACTCAGACACTATAGGGTGCTTGGACACAGATCGAGTATGAAGGTTGTTCGATGATGTCTTAAGTTCTATAACCTGACTAATCTTTTCCATCACTTCCAGTCGGGTTGACTTGCTTAATCAATTATATCAGGCAATTTTCAACCTCATTGCTATTCAAAATGTTACTTCAATTAGTGAAGGTTTATTGGGAGCATAGACATATAAATCATCCGATCTTTCTTTCATGCCTCAAAACTTTTTTATGAACTTTATTTGAGTCCCTGATGTCCAATTTCGATAGCCTCATCCTCTAACATTTGTTATTGCGTCTAGTTAAGAGAATCATCTGCATTGTTCATACTCTCTGCAAGGGCTTTCATAGATGTTTCTCATTTTGAATAAGACTGCCAACACATAGCATTCTTGTCATCCTACTTAGTTGTTCCACACCACAAAATGGCATCCATCAACAATCTACTCACAAGCTGCATTGAAGGAAAAATTAAGTCTCGATGCATAGTATTTTCAAGTGAGAAAAAGTCCGACAAGATCAGGTGATTTTTCAAGTTACTTCATCATGTAACATCCATGACATGACAACAGTGACAGGTTGGCTTACAGCATATGACCTGTGTGTATGTTGTTTTCGTAAGGAGTATTAAAGAACAATGACATAAGGAGGATAAAGGACAAGTCGTTTATAGTAAAGTTCCAGGCAAGTAGATTATTTATACAAATATATATTAATATCTTTCGACACAACTTTTGAGCAAAGCTATAAAAAGAATGTATTAACTAACTGAGCTCTTTAAGTTTGTATTTCAGTTCACAAGATAAGTTCAAGTTATCCTTGTACAAGCATGAGCTAATGTCACTGTTCACAGCACTGATAATTTGGCACTGAAATGTGAACATTCTAGCAATCCATAAGTGCCTCCAAATTTGACACCAAAAAATTTCCATTGTCAATCATAGCCATCCCAAACTAGTTTACCTCTGACCATCGCCATAGCAATAACAAACTCTTTTGTTATGCTAACACATGCATATCTGAATCTTCGGTTTGTATTCTCAGAAACAGATGTCATGGAGGGATCAAAGTCAACATCCTTGGGTTGCAGAGTTTGGCAGTAACCACAAGTCCATGATGTACGGTGCATAAAAAGCAGAATAGATAACGGAATATCCATGCTAACCTGATCGGCCGAGCTTGATGCTTTTGAAATTATGGCATAGGTCTTCACATACAGATGTAAAGCCGATAAACATCACCCATAGCAAGAGTAACAAAAAGGACAATGCATTAGAAAGAAAGTCTCTCTCTATCATGGGAGGAAATGATGAGGATAATTACTTACAGCAGGATCAACAAGGGCATAAATAACTCCAAAAGAGGCACTTAAGTATGCCACCTGCAATATGCATTGCCATAGTAGTTATATTATGAAGCCTAGAGAGTCACCAGAACTCATAACTTTGGACTTAGGTGAATAGAAAACTAAAGTTCCTTAATTCTCACTTAATCACCATAAACGGTGTCCTTTTTTCCCTTTGTATATTTTCCCTGGGGTTTCCAAAGTCATCCTACTTTTCATGCTATTGACAACTCCTAAAACCAGGAGAAGGAGAAGAGATTGAAGAGTTACTCCAACAATGTTCTCTTCTCCTGAAGAAGCCATTAGAATTTTCACATATGCTGAAGAACAACTAGTGTTTGGAAATGAGCCTCATTTATATCTTTATCCTGTGAAGGAGGTTGAAGGTCTTGTTACTTTGCTTGCTGTATGTGTATTAGTGTCCCATCCCCTCTGTTGCTAGTAACATCTTAACGAGAAATTATTTCTGTAATCTCTACACCATGCTGCATAATAGCACGCTAGAATATCTCTATTGCTTCAATAGGCATGAGATTGTTCCTTTTCTCTGTCAGAACTGAAGAACCATTCTGGGTAAAATAGAGATGCATACCCATGATGCCCAAGCCAAGCCATAGAACAATGCCTGTGAAGGAAAAGGCAATTCCCATGATTATCCATCCACAATAATTGTTGACTGCGGGGAACTGTATTTATCTGAAAGTACTACTTACATAAGCAATTGATGCAAGTAAGCCTACACAGAGTATTACTTTTTCTCCAACCCAAGGATTTACAAGAGGGAGAACCAAGATCTGTAAAATTAAGAACATAAATTAAACAAAAGATTGATTAGGAGGTGATTTTGTACCAAATAATCAGAAAAGCGTTGGTCAAACCATGAAATGGTAAACGGGATGTGGTTGTACAAAAGACGCAATTCAAACTGATGATAATTGAGACCAAAGAGAACTTTTGTAGGACCTCTAACAAGCATCTTAAATTTTGCATTGATTGTTACATGGCACAAATGCATCGTTAAAGAAATGCAGCATCTGAATCTCTCTCTCTCTCTCTCTCTCTCTCTCTCTCTCTCTCTCTCTCTCTCTCTCTCTCTCTCTCTCTCTCTCTCTCTCTCTCTCTCTCTCTCTCCACGCTTCATGTGTGGGCAGGGATGATTTTTACATTTAAGCTTCCAACTTTCATCTCAAACTCTTCAATCACTCTTCCTTAGTGAAATGTAGAACGGCAATCACTAGGTTCTCTGAAAGACAGGCTACAAGAGCAATCCTGTGAGTCCAAACTTCACCCAGCGAGAGCAAAATCACTTCTGATCATTTTCTGGCTATGTATGATGCCATTCATTCCTGATATATCTGAACCTGCCTTGTACTCTCCTTTTTACTTTACTTCCATGCCGTTACATTATTACATAACATAATCAGGTTATACTAATTGTCCATAACATGAAGAGGGAAGAAAGAAAGAATAGCGACGTAAAGATGCCTAGTGCTCAATCTGTATTAATTAATTATCAAATGAAAATATAACAACTTGCAAAGAAAACATACACGGTCTACTGATGACAAACCTGTGAAACTATTGAACCTGCTTCCACCACTATTAGAATCTCCGAAAACTGATTCTTAGTAAAACCGAAAGCTGCCTCCAGATAGTACTGAAAAGGTAGTTTTGTAAGTGTCAAGCATTTAAATTGAATAAAAGCAACAGCTAAGAGCATGAGAAACATGAACACAGATGGACTGGATACCACAAATTCCATCACTTAGGTCCTACTGGGGTCGGTGATCTTTCCTACAAAGTACAGAATTCCAGGATCTGCCCCTCTTTAATTAGTCGATATCAATATGTTCTTTGCAGCACTATCAGAAATTATGTCAAGAGATTTGGGAAGCAGGAGTACCATTTTGCAACCTCATATGAAGAAGAAATATGAGATGACAAGCATTAAGAAGATTATATCGATGTGACGATATAAGGATTTCCACATATTCGAGTTCTAATTTATAATTGCACACTTTCCACAGACTTAAATGTGCTGGCAACCCCTGCTTAATTGTCTTGAAACTCCTGGTCTTCACGGAAGATTGAATTCGTCTATAATCATGTCATGCGTGTACTTCTGACGAAACGGCAGTAGAGTCAACAAAGTTTCAGAGAACTATTAATATATAAGTAGTGGCTAAAGAAAAACAATACTAGTAATACGTTGCTGATGCCAGTCATTCCCAACTCGTAGAAGAAGGAAACAATGGAGATGCCTCTGAGCGTTTGACTGGAGAATGACAAGGAATTCATTAGGCAGATAAATAAAAGATAAACAGGATCCTATTCTTATGAAAATGTGCATGATGTAAAAGATTGAAGTCTTTCCGAGATGCAGTTTCCAAGACCACTAGAATAAGGAAATATAAATACCTCCTTATGACTATTATAGCAGCATCTCTCATTGACCTGTACCGTTTGGATACACCCCTAAAAATCCTAGTCGACCATGTTGACTCTTCGTCCTGCCTTGGGGCATACTCAACTGTCTCACACAGAAACACGTAGATATATATCGGGGGACAGAGCAAGAGAGCTATTGAAATCTGTAAGGAGAAATTGCATTAGCAAGAGGACCAGAAAATTGAAAGGATAACCAGAGATGCTGTTAAAATTTCATCAACGGCTTACATCAAATATGTACTTCTCTGGGAGAAAACGTGCTAACAAGTTTCCCAGGACATGAGAAGCAGAAAGAAGACCTGTAATCCAGCTAAACGCGAAAGCCCTCTTACCGGGTTCAACGACATCTGCCTACTAAGACGAAAGGAACTTTTTGGTTATAGTCTGCTATTTATGACTCACGATTTCTTCCAGTTCAGGAAAATGCTCACCGCATAAGTAATGGAAACACATAATATACTGCCCTGACTGAGAATGTTCGATATAGTTCTGAGCACATAATAGGCATATACAAATCCCCTTGACTGATTCCAGGCCAGCATAGCTGAAACAAGAGAACGAAGAAAAGGATGAACTCACTATTGATGAGAACTACATTGAAGATAATCATAATTTAATTACCAGAGAACAAGCCTACTTGATGTGATCACATACATAAGGGAGCAACCAAAGCATGGGCCTGGTATAGTTCCTTTATAAGATTAAGAAGCTTTTCCTCATTGTAGTACATATATCTGCCATTTCTCTGGCAATAGTTCAAAAGGGATAAAGGGAAGCAAGTCAATTCAGCAGTATAGACCAGAGAGGGTATGTTGGATGAATCATTTTAGGACCTTTACAGGAACTTATGAAGAATAAAACAGTAGGAACATGAAAGGACTTATTAATTCCGGATCTTGTTCCTAGTTTGAACATGCAACATACATACTGTAATCAATCCTGTAATCAATCCCGAGCAGCTCAACTTGGGCAATAACAGTAAATAAGAGAGAATCAGTAGTCTGAGTCTGTTCTGAAGTGCATTAGACTTGAATGAATCAGAAAGAAGGGGAGAAAGTACTGCTTGAAAGACATGTTGGCAGATGCATGAACATGCAATCACACACGTCACTCACAAATTTTCAGAAAGCTACTTTCAAGTGAGTCTCACCAAAGGGAAATACGGACGTTGATATGATTACAAGGAGCACCGGTTTTCGTCCATACTCGTCTGCAAGCTGACCGAGGATCGGGATTGAAAACATCCTGAAAACTCCAACGATCTAAACTAGAAAAAAAAAAAGGGAAATAATAAGTTATCTTTGCCTGGCAGTGTTCTTTAACTTGTGAATTTAGTCAGTCGAAATGAACACTGTCTTGCTAAGCATTTTCCCAACGTGGCACCGAATTGGATCTTACTTTGCCGAAGCATACTTTATATGTATCCGTATTTCCCATTGAACATTCTAGGAAACTCGTGAATGTCCACCATGGCCATTATAAACATGCTTAAAGAAGTTTCTGTGAGAAACACAGCATGACCCTCTTTCACTAGAATCTTTACCGGCAGCCGACATATTGCATTGCTGCTTCTTTCTGCTAGCGAAATATGTTGAGCGGCAATCTACTTTAACCCGTTTATGGGAATTATTGGCAGATGACATATGAGATCGATCTAACCAATTTGTCAGATATCAAATCTCGAATTGAAGAGCACCGCCCTGTCAAGGCGGAAGCTGCCATTCGAGTAATCTGTTACTTCATATCTGCCAAGGAAATTTACTTTGAGCAGTGCCAGGAATGTGCTAGGGGAACAGAGCATATTATATGTACTAAAAAAATTATTTCTTCTTGTACTATTCTGTGCTAAATATATTTAGATATTGAGCTCACATTGATGATGACTGATCCAAGCTTCAGTTTCATCAGGTAATGCAGAGACCTTGCAAGTCGTGGTTTACTTAAAGCATGGTTTCTCTACACAGGAAAATTACAGAAAAAGAAAGCGGGAGGCGATTGAAAATTCTCGTTGACAATATTTATTTTTCTATTTTTAGGATATTATTGATAATAGTCTTCGGCATTATATCGAGAAAGTGGCATTTTAATATTCAGTGAAACAAATTTACGGTAAAAAATTAAAACATTATCCATAATAACATGGCCCTCGTAAACATATCGATAATGCTAAAAAAAATTTAAAAAAAAGTAGGGAGTGCTCCTTCTAATCCAAAAAGGACCAAAAAAAAAGAAGAAGTGATAAATAGTGAAGTATAAAAACTATCAATTTAATAAATAAATGCATATCCAATTTAGTAGCTGACGTCACCTGAAAACTTCCCCAAAAAGGAATATGTTTTCCGTCTCTCAGCAAGAACTAGAAGAAAGAGTAACATAGAAAGAAAACAAGAGGCGAGCGATAGTTACCGTCTGTTCGAGGCCATTGAAGTAGATGACTTCGGAGCAAGTGGTGTCGCCGGGGCACAGAGCGTCGATCAGGACGTCGACGAGCACCGACACCGTCATTTCGTGGGCGGTCCAGTGGACGCAGAGCGGGATCAGCAGGTGAACCAGTGGCCTCAGCCCCCTCAGACCACCCCCGCCGTTCTCGAACAACATTCCGAGTTCCTCGCCGCCGCCGCCGCCGCCGCCGCCGCTGCCGTCGCTATGTAATTGAAGTCGATGATTTCTTTTCTTGTTTTCCGCGAAGGCCGAGAGAGTGCTGTGCTTGTGTGATCTCTAGCGAATTTAAGAACGGAGTTTGTGTTCGCGTGTGTGCGAGAGAGAGAGAGAGCGCGCAGAAGTTGGATGATGTTTTGGGGTTGACTGGTTGTTGAACGCGAAAGGGCGTACAAGATGGGTGCGTGTGAGAACGCGAAGAGAACGAGAATCTCTGTTTCTGCAGTGGAGTTTCAGATACTGTTGCTTGATAGGAACCACTCGGGAGAGGCAGAAACACAACCACAGAGAGATTGATTCAGTGAAACTTCATTTACTTCCCTTCCGGACTTCTTTAGTGATCTGCACCCGAGACATACGCTAAATTAACCATCATTCTTAATGTTCTAAACTCCTTACCCAACTTCGATTTCGGCGTCTACACTTTCCACCACGAGTGTCGAGATATTCGGTATATCATCCATCACGCACAACAACGACGACCGTGATGATTATTTGTATGCATCGATCCCATACATGTGATGGTATTTTTAACATATCTCCCAACTCCATCCTTTACATGATTCAATTCAAGATATGTACAATGACATGGGATGGCTTGTTAGGAACCATACGATTCATACCCGTTTCATTTGCTTATGTTTTTGGTTCAACCTTGTTGTCGGATGTTATTTCCAGTTCCCTGGTAGTTCAGGACGCAATGGTTGGTGTTTTTTTGCACTTGATCCAGTAGTCCATGTTATCCTTGTTAGATGTAACTTAGCGAAAGACTGGAGATTCCGATTATTGATAGATAAACAAAAATTATGCACAATCAGAATCGAATGCAGAAACGTGAAGAACTCTGTACTAACCTCTAGCCATTGATGAAGTCGAAAACCAGATACGCAGAGACTTGAACGATCGTCAATAGATACTTCTAGCCATTTGCCCTCTTAACGTTGATGACGTGTTTTTAGATAATCAGGTAATAAAAGGGTTTGACTTTGATGACCTATATATAGCACCCATTCCGCTAACTTCTTCCATCAAGATAGTTATCTTAATATTAGGCGATCACCATGGTTATCATGCACCTTAATGCGGACAATAAAACATCAACGAAATTAATTTATGTGGGCAATAATAAACCGAATGTAGGATCACATTATTGATATTATAATATTCTCCCATTTGATCCCAACCATTCATCAAACGAAATATTGAACCAAAACACAAAAACTTCATGCTAAAAACAAAACACATGAATCATGGCGATAAGTCCTCTTAGAGCGAGTATTATCTTCCATGCATCACAATGCGTCTTATCAGCTCATATGTAATAACATAACTTAATGAATAAATCGTATATTTATTATAGGTAAAAATGATTGTTATTCTCAAAATAAATGAATGTGTACACCAAAATTGAAAAAAAAATCACTAATGAATAAGAGTTTCACAAATTTATCTATATGAAGAAAATTTACATGATAGGACTAATTCCCATCCTAGCCACATGATTGTTATAACTTAGTGATAGCATGCATTTAATTAAAGGATCAGCTAACATCAATTCAGCGCTAACGTATTCTATGACCATTTTGTTATCTTTAACACTTTCCCTTATGACTAAATACTTGATGTCGATGTGCTTACTTTGACTATCACTTTTGTTATTTTTAGCCATGAAAACTGCAGCGGAATTGTCACAAAATATCCTTAATGGCCTAGCAATGGAATCCACAACTCTAAGCCTAATATGAAACTCTTCAACCACACACCGTGCAAGTGGCCTCAAAACAGGAAACGAACTCAGCATTCATAGTAGAAGTAGCAATCAAAGTCTGCTTCGCACTTCTCCAGGACACGGCTCCGCCAGCAAACATAAAAATGTATCCAGATGTTGATTTTCGATAATCAATGCAACCAACGAAGTCTGAATCCGAATAACCAACTACTTCCAGGTTGTCAATCTGTTTATATAAAAGCATATAACCTTTTGTACCCTAAAGGTACATCATCACCTTCTTTGTAGCTCTCCAGTAATCCATACATGGATTACTCTTATATCTTTCCGACATTCCCACAACAAAAGCAATGTCAGATTAAGTGTATACCTGAGCATACACCAAGCTTTTGATAGCAAAACCATAATGGATGTTTTTCATTTGCTCCCTTTCTAGATCGCACAGCACACAGTCACACGCACCTGCATATTGCAATCTAGCTAGTCTGTGTTTGAGTTGTAATTCAGCATCTTTTTTTTGCAAAGATTATTTAAACAATGGCTTGGATCGCTTTCTCAGAGTTTTTTTTTTATCTTTGATTATAATTTCTTATTACGTATATTTTACGTATTCAACAATTTTAAGTCGTTTAGTTCTTTCTTATCGTTTGTTGGGTTTATTAGAAATTTGTGGTGGCTAATAACAATGAAATACTCACTTATGTCTATAACATATTTGGAGAGGTTCCTATGGTTGTTTCGACCGCTACCGGTGGAGAGGTTCATACCTCGGGGCTTCGTTTTGTGGCAACAAATGCTGCAAGCCTTCAAGCTGAAATTATCTATGGTGGTACGGGTACACATCAAGAGGCTTTGCCTTCTTTGATAATACCATCTTCGGTTACACCAAATGAGAAACTAGAGAAATTTATTGGTGTGGACTTTAAGCAGTGGCAGCAGAAGATGTTCTTCTATCTGACCACGTTGAATCTGGTCAAGTACTTATCGAGAGTGTTCCCGATAATTAATCCAGTTGAGCAAAATGTCACGACGTTCGGGCATTGGAGGCTTGGAAGCACGGGGACTTCCTATGCCAAAACTCTATCCTTAACTGTCTGGTAAGTTCTCTATATAATATTTTATTGTAACATTGGAACTGTTAAACAGTTATTGGAGTCCTTAGAAAAGTATTGCGAGATTGAGGATGTGGGCACCAAGAAATTCGTGGTTGCCAAATTCTTAGCCTTTAAGATGATGGATCTAAATTTGTTATGAATCAAGTCCGGGAATTGCAAATAATTCTGAACGACATCTTTGCTAAGGGAATGTTATTTAGTGAATCATTCCAAGTGGTAGCTATTATTGGGAAGTTGCATTTGGATTGGTCAGACTTCAAAAATTATTTGAATTACAAATAGAAAGAGATAAACCTTGAAGATCTCATTCTACACCTCAGAATCGAGGAGGATAACAGAAGGAATGCAAACCTTCCTATAGAACCAAAGACCAACACTGTTGAGTTTTCCAATTCCAAACAAGATAGGAAGAGGAAGAAATCTTTTCGAGGAAAAGACAAGCAGAAGGAACAGTCCCAGAAATTCCAAGGGACATGTTTTGTTTGCAATAAGCCTGGGCACTGGGCTATGGATTGTGAGAAGCACCCAAAAAAAAGCAAGGGCGGTGGTGCAGCCAAGTAGCTAAATTTGACAAGGTAGGCAGATGATAAGAGACTGACTGCAATGGTGGCATTTGGGGTATCCTTGGTGTCAATCAATAATGATTGGTGGTTGGACACATGTGCCACAAATCACTTGTGTGGATATACACCCGTTTTCATCTTATGAGAAGGCTGAGGAAGAGGAGATGCTTTATATGGCTAACTTTACATCAGCCAAAATTGTCAGGAGAGGAAAGGTGATCCTGAAGTTCACCTCTGCTAAGGAGATCATCATGCTAAATGTGTTGCACGTATCAGAGATTTGGAAGAATCTCATTTCTGATTCCATACTTGTCAAGAAGAGTTTCAAAATTGTATTTGAATTTGACGAATTTGTACTTACCAAATGGGGGATGTATGTGGGGAAATGATTCTTGTATAATGAACTGTTCAAAGCTAATATAGCTGTAATTGATGTAAACTCGAAAATTTTGTATCCAAAAATTATTAATAAAGAGAAATCTTCAGTTTACACTATTGTGTCTCCTTATCTATGGCATAGTAAATTAGGACATGTAAACTATGGTACACTAATGAATATAGCAAACTTGGGGCTAATTCCAAAGTTTGAATTGGATAACCGTTACAAGTGTGAGACTTGTGTTGAGGCTAAGATTGCTAAGAAATCTTTCAAATGCGTTGAAAGAATGAGTGAACCTCTACAACTAGTCTATAGTGATTTATGTAATTTAAAGTTTATAGAAAGTAGAGGTGGAAAGGAGTACTTTATTAATTTTGTGGATGATTGCACTCAATTTTGCTATGTTTATATGTTATCTAGCAAAGATGAGGCTATGAGCATGTTTGTCAAGTATAAAAATAAGATCGAGAACCAAATTGACGGACGAATCAAAGTGCTTAGGTCAAACAGAGGATGAGAATATAGTTCTTCCAATTTAAAAGAGTTGTGTGCTAGTTTTGGGATAATTCGCCAAACAATTGTATCTTGTACTCCGCATCAAAATAGAGTTGCTGAACAGAACAACAGAACTCTAATGGAGATGGCTAACACCATGCTCTTGAGTTCAGGTTTACCTCATAATTTGTGGGGGGAGGCAGTTTTTGCAAACTATATTCTTAACAAAATACCGCACAGGAAAACAGGTAAAACTCCATGTGAGTTATGGAATAGAAGGTTACCATCCTACATTTTTTTGAATGTGTGGGGGCGCCTAAACAAGGTGGTGATTCCTCCTCCTAAACAAACTCAGTTGAGACCTAAAATGGTGGATTGTATTTTCATCGGTTATGCTCAAAATAGCAGCATATATAGATTTTTGGTTTCAATGCCATCAGCTGACATTGATCCTCTCTACCTGCACTTCACCTTCAATTCCTTTTCCATATGATCTCAACTCAGTTTGTTTGAACTAACCCTTGAATTGATTACATTTGGTACTCCTTGCAGCTGGCTCAACACATGTAATCAACATTTGTTTTGCCAGTTCTATCGGAGCCTTTCTCCGCCGTGGCAACAATAATTATTCTAAGCCGTCTCGAGTCTCTTATGCTTGTCTTTGAGCGAAATGAATCTTTTCGGCACGCTTGTACAGCACCAGTTTTTCCATAAGATCATGCAAATGAAATTGATATAGTTCACAGTTGTACTGATAAGTTGGTCTTTGGACTCTTGAGACTGTTCTTCTTGACAATGACTAATTCTTGGATCTTTATATCTCTCCCAGCACGATATAACTAGAACTGAAGCAAAAAGACTGATTTGACTTTAATTACATTATCTGATGGCCATTAAGATATAGTAAAATTTAGCAGTTAGCTGGACTGCTGATTGTTATAATTAATACAATAACGAGGAAATGCTTTATCGATACACTTGATAAAGTGAAATTTCATAGCAAAATCTCCTACAGGCAAGAGCTGGAGAAGTAACCTTAAGCTGCTTATCTAAGATTCAGCTCTCAAACTCTACTATATTTACAACTTTGTCATATGCAACTCCTTGAAAACAGAATCACTTCTCCAAGAGCCTATCCGACGTACAGGCAACAGCAACACCCTAGGTGAAATTTCACGACTACATGAAAAGTTAGATGTTTTGTAATTTATCCAGTACTGCTGCAAAGTAATGGAGCTTCTTGGTCTTCTATGTTGTCCTGATCTGAGTTCTGGCTTGACCAATCTTCTGGTTTAAGCAGACAAGCGAATGCGAAAGAAAGAACCTGAACATGTATATTATTTTAAGAATTAATGTAATCAAAACTCTATTACTGGGTGACAAACTGGGGTATCATAAGAGTTCTTTTTCTCACCATGCATACAGAGGCACATACAATGCTGAAGCCCTTGAAGTTGAAGGGGGCATTATCAGATATGAACCAAGCTGAGAAAATAGAACATAAAAAGATTAGCATGGTCGGATAGAGAAAATACGTTTCAAAATGCCAAATGAAGATAAAAGCAGGCAACCCACCGGTCAAGGGACTCATGGCAAGGGGTGATAAAAAACTGGCTATTGCTTGTATGCCAGCTATGAACCCTTGTGCCTTTCCCTGCAGGTAAATTGAAGCCGGCATCCTTTAATCACTTGTGATGAGTTCAAAGGGAAAGGCCTTCATGACGCAACACATAGCAACAATTCTTGCATAAAGTCCAGATAATATGAAACTGTACAAGAAAAAAGCACATCGACCGGCAGGGGACTATACCGTCACGCTTCAGATGTTTAGACGCACTTTTTCTTTCCAAACACTGCATGAGCGCCACTAGTAGAAAGGGATTCAAGAAAATCAGATACTATAGAATGCTTGGACACAGATCGAGTATGAAGGTTGTCCGATGATGTCTTAAGTTCTATAACCTGACTAATCTTTTCCATCACTTCCAGTCGGGTTGACTTGCTTAAACAATTATATCAGGCAATTTTCAACCTCATTGCTATTCAAAATGCTACTTCAATTAGTGAAGGCTTATAGGGAGCATAGACATATAAATAGTCCGATGTAAAGTATTTTCAAGTGAGAAAAAGTCCAACAAGATCAGAGGATTTTTCAAGTGACTTCCTAATGTGAACATCCATGACATAATAACAGTGACAGGTTGGCTTACAGCATATGACCTGTGTGTATGTTGTTTTCGTAAGGAGTATTAAAGAACAATGACATAAGGAGGATAAAGGACAAGTCCTTTATAGTAAAGTTCCAGGCAAGTAGATTATTTATACAAATTTATTTTAATATCTCTCGACATAATTTTGGGGCAAAGCTATAAAAAGAATTTATTAACTAACTGAGCTGTTTAAGTTTGTGTTTCCGTTCACAAGATTATTGCAAGTTATGCATGTATAAGCATGAGCTAATGTCACTGTCCTTAGCACTGATAATTTGACACTAAAAAATGTTTTCATTGTCAATCATAGTGAACCCAAACTAGTTAACCTTCGACCAACCCCATGGCAATAACAAACTCTTTTGTCTATGTTAACACATGCATATCTGAATCTTCAGTTTGTATTCTCAGAATCAGATGTCATGGAGGGATCAAAGTCAACATCCTTAGGTTGCAGAGTTTGGCAGTAACTACAAGTCCATGGTGCACAGTGCATAGAAACAGAATAGATAGTGGAATATCTATGCTAACCTGATCAGCCGAGCTTGATGCTTTTGAAATTATGGCATAGGTCTTCACATTCAGATGTTATAGTCGATAAATGTCACCAATAGCAAGAGTAACAAAGAGGACAACGCATTAGAATGAAAGTCACTCTCTCATGGGAGGAAATGATGAGGATAGTTACTTACAGCAGGATCAACAAGGGCATAAATAACTCCGAAAGAGGCACTTAAGTATGCCACCTGCAATATGCATTGCCATAGTTGTTATATTATGAAGCCTAGAGAATCACCAGAACTCATAGCTTTGGACTTAGGTGAAGAGAAAACTAAAGTTCCTTCATTATCGCTTAATCACCATAAAGGGTGTCCTTTTTTCTCTTTGTATATTTTCCCTGGGGTTTCCAAAGTCATCCTACTTGATTTTCATGCCATTGACAACTCCTAAAACCGGGAGAAGGAGAAGAGATTGAAGGGTTGCTCCAACAATATTCTCTTCTCCTGAAGAAGCCATTAGCATATTCACATTTGCTGAAGAACGGCTAGTGTTTGGAAATGAGCCTCATTTATATCTTTTATCTTGTGAAGGAGGTTGGAGGTCTTGTTTCTTTGCTTGCTGTATGTGTATTAGTGTCCCATCCCCTCTGTCGCTAGTAACATCTTCACGAGAAATTATTTCTGTTATCTCTACTGACCATGCTGCATAATGGCAGGCTAGAATATATCTATTGCTTCAATAGGCATGAGATTGTTCCTTGTCTCTGACGGAACTAAAGAACCATTCTGGGTGAATAGAGATACATACCCATGATGCCCAAGCCAAGCCATAGAACAATGCCTGTAAAGGAAAAGGCAGTTCCCATGATTATCGATCCACAATAATTGTTGACTACAGGGAACTGTAGTTATCCGAGGAAGTACAACTTACATAAGCAATTGATGCAAGTAAGCCTACACAGAGTATTACTTTTTCTCCAACCAAAGGATTTACAAGAGGGAGAACCAGAATCTGCAAAATGAAGAACATAAATGAAACAGAAGATTTATTACGAGGTGATTTTGTACCAAATAATCACAAACGTGTTGGTCACACCGTGAAATGGTAAATGAATGACATGGGATGTGGTTCTGCAAAAGACACAATTCAAACTAATGACAATTGAGACCAAAGAAAACTTTTGTAGGACCTCTAACAGGCATCTTAAATTTTGCATTGATTGTTACATGGCACAAATGCATTGTTAAACGAATGTGGCATATGAATCTCTCTCTCTCTCTCTCTCTCTCTCTCTCTCTCTCTCCACCCTGCATGTGTGGGTAGGGATGATTTTGACATTCCAGCTGCCAACTTTCATCTCAAACTCTTCAATCACTCTTCCTTAGTGACATGTAGAAAGGCAATCACTAGGTTCTCTGAAAGACAGGCTACAAGAGCAATCCTGTGTGTCCAAACTTCACCCAGGGAGAGCAAAATCACTTCTGATCATTTTCTGGCTATGTATGATGCCATTCATTCCTGATATATCTGAACCTTCCTTGTACTCTCCTTTTTACTTTACTTCCATGCACTCACATTATTACATAACATAATCATGTTATAATAATTACCCATAGTATGAAGAGGGAAGAAAGAAAGAATAGCGACATAAAGATGCCTAGTGCTCAATCTGTATTAATTAATTATCGAATGAAAATATAACAACCTGCAAAGAAAAAATTCACGGTCTACTGATGACAAACCTGTGAAACAATTGAACCTGCTTCCACCACTATTAGAATCTCCGAAAATTGATTCTTAGTAAAACCGAAAGCTGCCTCCAGATAGTACTGAAAAGGTAGTTTTGTAAGTGTCAAGCATTTAAATTGAATAAAAGTAACGGCTTAGAGTATGAGAAACATGAACACAGATGAACTGGATACCACTAATTCCATCACTTAAGTCCTACAGGGGTCAGTGATCTTTCCAACAAAGTACAGAATTCCAGTCTGTGCCCCTCTTTAATTAGTCCATATCAATATGGTCTTTGCAGCACCATCAGAAATTATATGCAGAGATTTGGGAATCAGAAGTACCATGTTGCAACCTCATATGAAGAAGATATATGAGATGACAAGCATTAAGAAGATTATATCGATGTGACGATATAAGGATTTCCACATATTCGAGTTCTAATTTATAATGTCACACTTTCCACAATTTTAAGTGTGCTGGCTACCCCTGCTTAATTGTCTTGAAACTCCTGGTCTTCACGGAAGATTGAATTCGTCTATAATCATGTCATGTGTGTGCTTCTGAGGAACCGGCAACAGAGACATCTAAGTTTCAGAGAACTATTAATATACCAGTAGTGGCTAAAGAAAAGCAATACCAGTAATACGTTGCTGATGCCAGTCATTCCCAACTGGTAGAAGAAAGAAACAATGGAGATGCCTCTGAGTGTTTGACTGAAGAGTGACAAGGAATTCATTAGGCAGATAAATACAAGATAAACAGGATCCTATTTTTATGAAAATGCGCACGATGTAAAAGAATTGAAGTCCTTCCGAGATGTAATTTGCAAGGCCACACGAATAAGCAAATTTAATACCTCCTTATAACTATTCTTGCTGCATCTCTCATTGAACTGTACCGTTTGGACACACCCCTTTTAATCCTAGTCAGCCATGTTGACTCTTGGTCCTGCCTTGGGGCAAATCTAACGGTCTCACACAGAAATATGTACATATATATCGGGCAACAGAGCAAGAGAGCTATTGAAACCTGTAAGGAGAAATTTCATTAGCAAGAGGACCAGAAAATCGAAAGGATAACCAGAGATGCTGTTAAAATTTCATCAACTGCTTACATCAAATATGTACTTCTCTGGGAGAAAACGTGCTAACAAGTTTCCCAGGACATGAGAAGCAGAATAAAGACCTGTAATCCAGCTAAACGCGAAAGCCCTCTTACCGGGTTCAACGACATCTGCCTACTAAGACGAAAGGAACTTTTTGGTTATAGTCTGCTATTTATGACTCGCGATTTCTTCCAGTTCAGGAAAATGCTCACCGCATAAGCAACGGAAACACAGAATATACTGCCCTGGCTGAGAATGTATGATATAGTCCTGAGTACATAATAGGCATATACAAATCCCCTCGATTGATCCCAGGCCAGCATAGCTGAAACAAGAGAACGAAGAAAAGGATGAACTCGTTATTGATGAGAACTACATTGAAGCTAATCATAATTTAATTACCAGAGAACATGCCTACTTGATATGATCACAGACATAAGGGAGCAACAAAAGCATGGGCCTGGTATAGTTCCTTTATAAGATTAAGTAGCTTTTCCTCTTTGCAGTACATATATCTGCCATTTCTCTTGCAATAGTTCAAAAGGGATAAAGGGAAGCAAGTCAATTCAGCGGTACAGACAAGAGAGGGCATGATAGGAATCATTTTATGAGCTTTACAGGAACTTATGAAGAATAAAACAATAGGAACATGAAAGAATTTGTTGATTCCGGATCTTGCTCCTAGTTTGAACATGCAACATACAAACTGCAATCAATCCCGAGCAGGTCAACTTGGGCAATACCAGTAAATAAGAGAGAATCAGTAGTCTGAGTCTGTTCTGAAGTGCATTAGACTTGAATGAATCAGAAAGAAGGGGAGAAAGTACTGCTTGAAAGACATGTCGGCAGATGCATGAACATACAATCACACACGTCACTCACAAATTTTCACAAAGCTACTTTCAAGTGAGTCTCACCAAAGGGAAATACGGACGTTGATATGATTGCAAGGAGCACCGGTTTTCGTCCATACTCGTCTGCAAGCTGACCGAGGATCGGGATTGAAAACATCTTGAAAACTCCGACGATCTAAACTAGAAAAAAAAAAAAGGGAAATAATAAGTTATCTTTGCCTGGCAGTGTTCTTTAACTTGTGAATTTAGTCAGTCGAAATGAACACTGTCCTGCTAAGCGTTTTCCCAACGTGGCACCGAATTGGATCTTACTTTGCCGAAGCATACTTTATATGTATCCGTATTTCCCAATGAACATTCTAGGAAACTGGTGAATGCCCACCATGGCCATTGTAAACATGCTTAAAGAAGTTTCTATCAGAAACACAGCATGACCCTCTTTCACTAAGTTCTTTATATTGCATTGCTTCTTCTCGCTGTTAACAAAAAATGTTGAGCGGCAATCTAATTAACCCGTTTACGGGAATTATTGGCAGATGACATATGAGATTGATCTAACCAATTCGTCCGAAAACAAGAAAAATCTTGAATTGAAGAGCACCGCCCTGTCAAGGCGGAAGCCGCCATTCGAGTAATCTGTTACTTCACATGCTGCTAAGGAAATTTACCTTGAGCAGTACCAGGAATTTGCCAGGGGAACAGATAAATGAAAAGGCATATTATATGTGCTAGAAAAATTATTTCTTCTTGAATAATTCTGTGCTAAGAATATTTTAGATATTGAGCTGACATTGATAATGACTGATCCAAGCTTCAGTTTCCATCAGCCAATGCAGGGACCCTGCAAGTCGTAGTTTACTTGATAATTCTCGTTGACAATATTTAATTTTTCTTTTTTTAAGGATATTATTGATAATAGTCTTCGGCATTATATCGAGAAAGTGGCATTTCACTATTCAGTGAAACAAAAATCACGGTAAAAAATCAAAACATTATCCATAATAACATAAATAGTCCTCGTAAACGGTAAACTTATCGATAATGCCTAAAAATTATTTTTCACAGAAGTAGGGAGTGCTTCTGCTAATCCAAAAAGGACAAAAAAAAAAGAGAGATATAAATAGTGAAGTACAAAAATTCTCGATTTAATAAATAAATGCATATCCAGATTAGTAGCTGACGTCACCTGAAAACTACCCCAAAAAGGAATATCGTGTCGTCAGCGAGACGTCATCCCCCGTGCATGTAAGGCGGTAACGGAGAGAGAAAACTAAGAGGCGAGTGAGAATTCACCGTCTGTTGGAGGCCGTTGAAGTAGATGACTTTGGAGCAAGTGGTGTCGCCGGGGCACAGGGCGTCGATCAGGACGTCGACGAGCACCGACACCGTCATCTCCTCGGCGATCCAGTGGACGCAGAGCGGGATCAGCAGGTGAACCAGCGGCCTCAGCCCCCTCAGCCCGTCCCCGCCGTTCTTGAACAACGACATTCCCCTCGCGCGCTCCCCCTCGCCGCCGCCGCCACCGCCGCCGTGATTGAAGCCGATGATGATCTTTTCTCTTGGTGGGTTTTCGGCGAATGTCGAGAGAGTGCTGCGCTTGTGTGATCTCCAGCGAATTTAAAGAACGGAGCTTTTGTATGTGTGTGTATGTGCTCTCGCGTGTGAGAGAGAGAGAGAGAGAGAGAGAGAGAGAGAGAGAGAGAGAGCGGAGAAGTTGGTTGATGTTTGGGGTTGACTGGTTGTTGAACGCGAAAGGCCGCACAAGATGGGTGCGTGTGGGAACGCGAAGAGGGCGAGAATCTCTGTTCCTGCGGTGGAGTTTCAGGCATTGTTGCTTGATAGAAACCATCCAGGAGAAGCAAAAACAGAAACAGAAACGCACAACAAGATTGATTCAGTGAAACTTCATGTTTGAAGGACCGAGTACGAGACTTCTTTAGTGACCCGCGCCCGAAACATATGCTAGAATCAAATTTGGACCGCTGTACCATCATTCTTAATGTCCTAGAGTTGTTACCCGACTCGATTTCAGCACTAAGTCCACGACGAGTGCCGAGATAATTTGGTAAACCCATCAATCAAGCACCACGACAACCACGATGATTCTTTGTATGCATCGATCCCGTACATGTCGCGGTGTTTTAGCATGTCTCCCAACTCGGTCCTTTACATGATTCAATTCAAGAGATGTACACCGACATGAGATGGCTTGCTAGGAATCGTACGAATCATACCCTACCCCGTGTCATTCGCTTATGTTTCTGGTTCAACCTTGTTGACCGGAAGTTGTTTCTAGTTGCCTGTTAGTTGAGGATGCTGTGGTTGGGTGTCCTTTTGCACTTGTTTTAGTAGTCCATGTTGTCCTACCTTTTCTAACTTATCTAGTTGATAATGCCTGTGCTTTTAGCCAGAGGCACAAACCAAAAGCTACACGATCAAAGACCTAGGATCTTGTGGGACCTGGGACGTGAGATCGTGCGTGATTAAGGTTGATGGGTGCGCGAGCAGAGTTAAGCGTGTTAAGATTAGATATTGCGAATTGTTCTTGCCGCGCCTTCACGGGCTAATTTCTCTTCTTCTTTTTCTGTGTTTCCAAGGAGCGTGTCCGCTCGCGCTGGGCAGGTGTTCCGTGTGTGCGGCTGTGTGCTGGGTGTGCGTGGAGAGTGTGGGGTGCAGGTGGGGTTGAGAGACAAAACAATGGTTTGACTTCATTAAACCTCCATGCAAGTTGAACTATTTATACTCATTTGACTGGTTGGAGGGACAATGACAGTGGAGAACACTTAACATTCTAATTTATACAAACCAAGGTGGTTGGGTTGATGGTAAATATTCCGCGAGATTATAAGTTCAATTTGTATCGTGAATAAACATCCAAAAGGCTCGTGTAGTGTTACTTAGCTGCAACATACTTTATGTGGAGAGAGACTTTCTAGCTGCTCGTATCTTGATGGAATGTGATGATAGGTTCGCAAATGGGGACCCTCCAATTACAGGTGGTGAGAAGTAGTTATGACTCAAACCGAATATTTCGTAATAGGACCCTTATTGGACAAAGTATTTGGATTCCAGATGAAAAAATAATATAGGGATTTCTTTTGTTATAAAACAAAGTACTATGAACTTTCACTAGGAATGCATGGATAAATGTCTAATTTCATTGGAACATGGGCACGGAAGCGTCACGTGTCAATGGCAAGTGCTCAATCAATAATCTCCATTGGGTTTTTCCATGAAAATAAAACTCCGAAAGTTCTTTGACTGCAAGCTTTAGCGTTTGGTAAAATTAATCTAAAGCTCTTAGGATCAAATCCTACCTTCTTCAAAGCAGCTACCCATCTACTTTCGCTCAAGTCGAAAGCTACCTTGTAAAGTTTCACAAACGAAATAAGACCAAAATGTACGGTACATAACTTCAAAATTAAGAGTGTAATTTATTTGGGAAAAATTATCAAAAAAGTCCTAAACTTATTGCATTTATGCCAATTGAGTCATAAATCTTTGAATTGTGCTAATTGAATCATTAACCTTTTCACATTTTGCCAATTGAATCCATCCCGCCTATTTTAACTAGAAAATACTGACATAGCGGTCCAATCAGCGCCAATCGTCCTATGTGGCGTACTGGCGCTGGCGTACTGGCATTGATGTGGACAAACTTTTAAAAAAAATTGAATTTTATTCTTTTTTTTCCTTTTTCTAATTTTTTCTTTCCTTTTTGCTGGTGGCCGATCTCAGGCAATGGCCAACCACCAGTGATGGCTAGTCTCCGGCGATGGCCAGCCACTGGCTAGGCCAGGTCTCCCTCACCCAATTTGGCAAGGGCCACCCTCACCAGCCACAAGCGAGGGACGGTCTCGAATATCGCCACTGATTTTTTTAAAATTATCTACATCAAAGGTTGCAAATGTTATATACGAAAGCAAGGACATTGGTAAAGACACAAATTTCAATAGTGAACCTCTAACTGACCCCGATGTTAATAATTTTGAAGAATTTGGAGCAAATTTGAGACTATAGTAAAAGTTTGCGAAATTTTTTTTAGATATAAAAAGTTTAGGATAAAATTGGGATAGGATAAGAAGTTGGGGGATCTTTTAAGGAATTAAGCCGATGACTATGCATGCACTTTTTTGTTTGTCAGTGGTCACCCCTCAAGTGAACCAGCAGAAAATACTATTTTCAAAATAAGACTGATTCATGTGCTTCTTGAAGGGGACTACTGATTCCCTCATTTCCTTTTTATCAAACTACCAAGTTGAGGAAATGCAATCCTATGAAACGATGTGCCCAGCATTATGCTCGGCAACGATCTCTCTGGCTTTTTGTGTGTGGTGTATATGTGTGTGTGGCTGGAAAAACAAAGCTCGAAAACTATGAAGAGTAGAGAAAGAGATTCCATTCTTCTTCTTCATCCACGAATTGAGCATATGCTTTATTCATGTAAATAAAGCAAGTTCGCCGGGTAATATGAACTCTGCGACATCTTTCAGGAGTAGTTACTGAGCCCAAGAAAATGAGTGCTCAAGGAGATCCCGAGTATGTTAGCAGTTGCAGAAGTAGAGATTCTGGAAAGTACACTCAATGCAAACACCAAAACTCTCTCTCTCTCTCTCTCTCTCTCTCTCTCTCTCTCTCTCTCTCTCTCTCTCTCTCTCTCTCTCTCTCAGTTGCAATTTGCAATTTAAGCACGTAGAAGGCCCCAAGGGATTAAAGAAATGATTCAGACAGACATTTGTAAGACTTGCTAATAGTCAATAGTCAGCTTACTGTCTACATGCGAAAAGCTTTGATAAAATGCCTTGAAATGCTGGTACGCGATGTCAATATCTTCCTTCCACATACTTCTCTCACGCTGCAAATGTAAAAAACAGATATAATCATGACCACCGTATCACACTTTTCAACATTCACCGGGAAGAAAAAGCTTCTGTCGTGAACAAACGGCAACCCACCCCAGAAAGAGAAAGGGAAAAAGTTAAGAATATGTGTCTATGCTGGAAGGTGAACATAATTCAACATATCACACAGATCCCTGGTGTTCCTATGTTTAAGATGGTCCATCAAAGGAGCTCTTGAGCATAATTTGCATAGACTTATGCATGAATAGATGCTGGACTCACACACTTAAATGAAGCAGGGCTTAATTATTGAGAGATTCACATGAAGATTGGAAAAATAGTCTATCAGCATAGAGATATAGCTGTGAAAAAATACTGAGTTATGCTTTTCTTTTCTCTTCTTGAACTAAGCATGGCGATTTGTCACTTACTTGCCTATTGAGCAACAAGCTACAGCAGATGTGATTAATACAGACCACGGGACTATCATAATTAATCACACAAGATCAATTCGATACCTGTCCATGGAAAGTTGAGCAATGCCACAATCAACAGAGCAGATACCAAGTCCTGATGCCAGTATCGGACCCGTGGAGGATCCACATCCTATGTCAATTATAACTGCAAATTCCTACACCCAGAATAGTCATGGGAAAATTTTTCTATTAGGTTTCTTGTATAAAGCATGGAACAACTAGAAACTTCAGACAGAAATAATCTAAAAAAGAAACGGACACGTTACATTTGTAACTCTGTCCTAACCTGCATAAACAATGATATCCATGTTGCATCATTTTCGTCCATCTAACTAAAGAGACCTTGATTTCAAAATTATGTTAGTTATGAGACCTTATTTCAACATAATTAATGAATATATATATATATATCACACACAACTATTGATATGTAACGTGTGTGTGTTTGTGATTGATGAAGAGATGTCCAGCAAAAAATAGAGGTGAAACTGCAGCAGCTTTCAAGCAACAACATAAAAATGACCAAAACCTCCACACTAAGAAAATCCTGAATACTTGTGCACTCGTCTACTTATTTATTGCGGCAGCTCTAGGACATATATAATACTTTTTTTGTGTGAATAACAACTTTTGAAAAAGAGGAAGATAAGGATGACATGTATAATGCACTTATTAATCATTGCCAGACTTCGGCAGAGAAAACACAGATGTGAGATTGACAGTTAATCCTGGGATATGCATTGCAAGAGTGAAATGGAGAGAAAATGTCAAAGCAGGCCAACATGGCATCCGCATAGTAGCCAATGTGATATTTACAACTTGTTGCCAGAATTCATGTTTTGATACTTTAAAAAGGTTGATCTCCTTGCTTCTCTTGCGGCAAAATCATCTTAAGAAGCATAAGGTCCTCCCTTCTTTCTCGATCCACAGAGATGAAATGTAGAATTTAGACAAAGTTAACCGCTGAAAGCTGATCTAACTGTCATAGATTATTAATACTATCATATAGAAGGAATAGTGGTTCTTGGCTACGCAAATGGCCAGAATAACGTCAGTTTTGGATATGACGATCGCTTAACATCCCAAGGGCCTAAACTGAGAGAGAGTTCCTCGATCCAACTATAACGGAAGCTTAGTTTCAAGATACATCTCTCAGTGCTATCTGTGCTGGCAAATTATGGATTTTGCCCACTTCTTTGAAAAGAATAGCAGTAATTCCACTTGCGGGCCTTGTGGCATAGCGCTGATTGGCATTGTGCTTAGTTACTAGCCCCTTCTGCATTTCAGGTCGATGGTGTTCATCATGCTTTTCCTTGAAATTTGGGTGAACTCCGTGAGCCATGTCTGCGGAAACTGCATAATCCTAGATGTCAGCAGTTGTGAAAGTACACATGAGATTAGTATGAAAATACAACATGATAACATGACAAGTTTATTAGCTGTGTGTTTTCAATTGGGAGATCACAGGACCTCCTGAAAGTGGCTTTGAGAAATAGCAGAAAAAATGTACACGTGTAATAAAAGAAAAAGAAATTATTATTTTTTGCTTTTAACCCAAATTGAATCCTTTAATGTCTACTGTAATATTAGAAAAGTGGGTAGAACTGAGTCTTGTGGTTGAGTCAAGTCATCACAAAGGTCCATTGTCTCTCGCTACCCTTTGCAATTATTAGAAGCCACCACCATATACATCTTTTCTTTTGCCACACACTATCTTTTACATTAATTACACAGAAAAGCAAAAGAACTTAATCATCCCATATACATACAAGAAAACACAAGCACACACATATATACATACATACATACATACATACATACATACACAGAGACACGAGGACAAGCCGGCCTCTGAGCTAATCTCAAGGACAAGAAAATCTCTGAAAATTCCACGTCCGCATAAATGTCCAAAACATGGATTTACTTTGATATATAGTCAACAAGTACAAAACAACAAGCAGGAAGATGCAACGCCAATCTCGTAATGATAAAAACAAAGCATACCAAGGAATGATTTCCGTATTGCATACTCAAAAGCATTCTCCCCCACATACTTATCAGCTAAGGAATCACTGATGCGTCTCATGGCCTGAAACATGGTTGGTGCACTAGCAACTTATAAGGAATCTGAACCCACCCGACCAATAGAGTTAACAGATTTAATACGAGATCCAAAGTAGCACAGATAGATCAATCCATCCACTGCACTCTCCCTGCATTAGTGTATTCGGTGCTGCTGATGTGAATCAGAGGATAATAGAAGATTTTCTGATTGCAGTTACCTAACAACATAAAGGGTTAAGTATCATCTTGTTAATTATCTAGCTCATGTTTGAAAATGGCCAGAGTAAAGACAAAACTACAGAATATCTAGACAATGAATTTGTATGTACTCTTTTTTTACAATGGGGGCAGATTTGAGTATAAGTTTATTACGAACAGCACCTACATATCCCTTTTTATCTGTAAGCATAGCACATTTAAATGCATAGCATAACTTTCTACTGATCTGGCAGCAAAGCAGTCTAAATCTTCTTTTTTTATCTTAGTCATAACGATATTCTGATAAATAAAAGGCAATTTGAACAGTACTCCCTCTAAAAAGTTATCGATGTGACTAAGACATCGAAGCAATGGCCTAAATCAGCAAAGCAAAAAATCCTTAAACATCTCATTTGGAGACTGCTCCAACAGGCAAGCAGGTGAAACTGATGATCAACATATCAGAAATACCAACTAATTAAAACAAAATGCACCACAATAAACAGACAGAAAAAGAAGAGAGAAAAGAGAAAGCACATAAAGAGGACAGCATGGATTGCAGTAGAAAGTCATCCAAATTGAATATCACCAATCTTCTGGATAAAAAGGGAATAGGTTTTGCCACCTGTACTGTGTACAGAGCAGAGATGAGAATACCATCTGATTGATTCTTTTACTTTGCTCACCATAGTTTAGGAACTAAAGAAGGATATTCTTTTAGCAGTTATTTGTATACATACCCACGTAGAATCTTAGATTTTAAAGTTTTCCTCGAAAATTGCAAATAGAAACAGTTACCTGCAAAAGTAGGGGTGATGAAAAGGCCTTGAGGAACTATGGCCTATGTAGCACAAACAGGTTCAGGAGGCCGATGTGTCGATGTCGAACATGCTCCGACACGTTCCGACACGCGGTCAACAAGTGTCGAAAATCCGACATGCGGTCAACGAGCTGGACACGCCGCCGACACGCGATTCCGACACGCACGGGGTCAATTTTATAATTTTTCAAAAAATTAAGGGTCAAAATGTAGATTTATAAAAAGAAAGAAAGAAAACCCTAATCTTCTGTTCTCATCTTCACAATGCCTTCAATCGCGCTCTGTACTCCCTCCCCCTCTCGATTCGCGATTTCTTTTCTTCGCTCGAACCAATGACATCCGCCGAGGAGGAGGCCTTGAAGAGGAACACCGATTGTGTCTATTTCCTCGCCATTTCTCATCTTCTTCCTTTGCATCCTCCAAGCTCCAAACCCTTGAATCCCCACCCTCGGACCCTGAACCCACCACCACCCTCCTCCGTTTCATGGACCAAGAACCCCTCTAGCAGATGGCTCCTCCTCTCCCTGCCGGCGCACGCCATTATTTTTTTATTTTTTATTTTTCTCAGACATTCTAGGCTTTTTATTATTATTTATTTATTTGTAGATTTAAATCAAATTTAAAAATAATAATTTATCATTTATATATAAAAATATATATTACAACATATTTCAACGTGTCAAAATTCTCTATTTTTTGAGAAATAACGTGTTACGTGTTGCTACATAGACTATGGCACCTTTCTCTTTTGATTTTGTAGATGTTTCATCAGGTTTTGTGGAAAGAAACAGAATGAGGTGTCTCGAGGTTAGGCTCAGAAACATCCTTGTTTACTGTGCTAAACCAACAAAACAAAAGGAGTAATACCCCAGCACACTGTCAGCAAGCATATGAATTTGTCACCAAGTGACCTGGCAAGATAAATATCAGAAACAAAAAAAGGAACGGCGATATGCGTCCAGCACACAGGCACAGGTGAAGATCAACTACTGTCGTAATATTATGCGAGGAAGCCAAATGTACCTGTCAAGGTGTATGGCTAAAGTGGGTACTCGTAAAAGAGGTCTTTTTATTTTGACGAGTTTGTGCAGAAAGGAACCATAATTATCTCTCAAAATGTAAAGAAGAAGTGTCCTCCAGGCCTTAGATTCCATTCATCATATTCATTTGGGAAATGAAATTCAGCATCGATTAATTGTCATTTCGCTTCAGCTGGAAACACAAAGGTGAAAAGCATCATCGAAATGTTATCTAAAGCACAATTTAGTTGAACAAATTGGGTATGTCCATAACAAGCAAGACTATAGCCTCAATACTGGTTATGTCCCGTCAAGACCAATCTCACCGGAAGTTTCAATGAAATCTTACACAACTACCCCTGCGCATGGCGCCTCAGTGCGTTCATACTACAGAATGTGGTGATTACATGATAAACTCTGCTATATAAAATGTTCTGCTTACCGTATGAAAGGGACTTGTGGCAGTTTATCTAACAAAGCTTGCACATGAAGGGCCTATCATATTCAGAACTACTTTTCTCACCAAGCACAGCAAGTTGTCAGAAAGTCTGTAACTCCTTCCCCTTTCAAAAGCTCATTATTTCAATACCTAGGATGAGATGAACCTCTATTAGATGCAATCGGACCATCATGCTTATGGCATAGAACAAATTATTGGAAGTAAATCAAATATGCCCGAAATTATACAATCAAAGGAATAAACAATACAAGTTACTCTCAAACCGTTTGGTCCTCACGACAGGATTAAATTAGTGAAAGAATATCAAAGCAGCTAACTTCTACATAACAATACCATTAGCCACTAATAATACAACTGCGACTGCTAGTATAGTAGGACTATATCACAAATTGAGGATGATAATGAGAAAGTTTTCCTCCACTGGTTTGGCTAGTTACCTATATTCCATTGTGTATAATTTGTATGGCATCCTCTACGAGATCCAAATAACCAATATTTATTCAGAGTATCTCAAAGTGGCTCTAGTTGAATTTTTTACAATTTCTCAGATAGTAAATTTTTAGAATTAGTGCAAGAATTCTCCAAAAAGTCGAGGAAAATTATTTAACTTCTGTTTGATACTGTTTACCCAGTAATAGAAGATGATGTTCTGGTTCTAGAATAGTTTAGAACAGTAATCGAAGAATCGTGAATCAAACAAGCCATTGCACTTCGTGTTGAATGTGCATTTGCAATGTACTCTGACTCTTCAGGTTGTGAGTTAAACCCTGATACCTTGAACTTGTTAGTAAGAAATTCAAGAGCAAGAACATATCAAGACACTAATGGCATACCACAAATACCTAATACTAATACACACCAGATTTCTAAGACCAACCGCTACTTGCCTGAAGCAAGGGCTTGACCTTGATCCAAAGGAAATCGACTTAATCGCGAGGATATGTGGCCTTGTTGCTGTACCATCCAAATATTGAGCAGACCAGACAAAGGACTTCCATTCATGTGCCGGATACTAAATATGGATTGCTTCAGACAGTTTTTTGCCTACTTTATATGGATACTAAATCAGAACCGCATACATGCCATGTTTGATGTAGAAACTAGCAAATAAGCAGAAACCCAAATATCAGTTACTAAATACTGATCCAAACTGCCTTACCAAAAAAAATACTGATCCAAACTGCAAATTTCTGGCATCACGTGTCAGATCTATTTTTGGGATACCTACTGAAATGCATTCATTCCAACAATTTAACTAGTTTCATTTACTCAATTGAATATCTTCGAAGAATCTGTGGATCATATACCTAGCAAGCGCAAAACTGTCTATACTGATTGCTCTGTATAGATTGATGTATCGTGTAGGAATCGCAGCATCCGAGTTACGACAACCTGAGAAAATGAACATCCATAACAACAACATACGCTTGAAGCTTATACGAAAGCCTTATACATACTTGTGCTATAACAGCAACTAAGCACCAATTGGAGGAGCTCCTACACGAGAAAGGAACTGTAGTGAAAAGCATTGCAGCTTTCAAACTCTTTCCCAAGCTCACCAATAAACCAGAGAGAATCTCTTAAGCATTATGAAAGGCAGACATAGTACAAGCTACTAAACACACCTTGGACAAACACTGACAAACTAACATCATAATCAAGCTCAACCACCTTAAACCAAAGCGTAAACCACAAACGACAGAATTTGAAGTACCTGCAGCATGAAACTGAGTCCAGGACTCATTGAGATAATCCAAGAGATCTCAGACAATCGAACCGCTCAACGCAGCCGACGAAGAAGCACTCTGATTGCAGGCATAGGCGTAGGAGAGACAAATAAACATAGAATCACCCACATGGGTGGGGACTATGGCAACAAGCAACACCCTTGACGTACAAAAGGCGGGCTACATGAAGAAATAGAAAAGTCAAAGTACCATTTCCACCTCAAGTCTGCCATCATTAGGAAAAAGGTTAAGTGAAGAGTTACATATTTATTACCTTCTGGAAAAAACAAAAGTCATAATTTAAAATTTAAAAAAAACCAGTAAAAAATTGTATATAATTCTATAAGTACCGATATTTAAAATGGTTCAAGCATTTTGTTTCAAACAAAGCTGAATTCGTGGGATGGATAGATGAATCAATATATAACTTTATTTGCATATATTCTGAAATGTTCAGAATTTTTTTTTTTTTGGTAAAGCTGAATTGTAAGAGTAGCAAGATATGAGAAAAAAATGTAAAAAAAAATCACTTCAAACGTTACGAAAATTACAAGAACTAGAAATTCCAGATATATACAATTTTCTTGTAAACCACGGGGCAAAAAAGCGTAAAGCAAAACGAAATGGTAAAATGACTCGTTTTATTGTATTATCTCCTCTTGAAAATTCAAAATATACAAAATATTCCTGGGAATATCTCGTCCGATGAGCCTAGGACGAGACACGAGAGGACAAAAGTCAGAGAAAAATTTGGTTGAAAAGTTGGAGCATCACGTCTCATCTCGTCATTGACATCAACACAGGGACCACCACCAGAAATAACATGGACACACCAGCGGATACCATTCCATTTCGGACCCAAACGATACCTAATTTAGAACCAAATGATTTAGGAAAGACAAAAGAGAACATCGATCCAATCGAATAATCTGCTGTAGTAAGATAAAGGACGTGAGAGCTCATGATGATCATGCATGTAAAACCTGTTCCGCTACTGTTCACCTCGAAAAAAGAGGAAACTATTGTTACATATTACAGACCCAAATATAAGAATTGTGGTCGCTTCCGCAACAAAATGCGACAACTCAGAATTATTCTTCCCAGGAAAAATCCAAAGCCAAAAACTTTACACAGTATATGAAGAAGATGAAGACCCGACCACAACCAGTACTACTGAAAACTCTGCCTTCTGCGAGAGCGGCGCCACCAGCCGGGGATGTGAGAATGCGAGAGCTTTCACTCTTCGCCATCGGCAGTTCGAAGCGAACCGCGCTCAACTGGGGCTCCGGTGCCCACCACTTCCGATGACCCAACGGTCGACGAGTCAGTCCCCTGCGGTTTCACCTTCCCAATCCCTTTTTTGATCCAGAAGCGCAGCATTCTCAACCAATTCTACAACCAATTAATGTACAAAAACAATGGGATCACAGAGAATTGTGATTCAAGTTCAACTCGAAATGGGTTAACGGTGAAAAGGACGAATAACGAATAAATTTCAATGTTGCTGAATGAGTAGTACCTTCAGCACCGCGGCGCACCCGAGTTTCTTGTGATCGTCGCTTCCCAGGATCACAAGGTCACGCATGTTCAAACTTCCGATGTATACAGGCTCACGGCAGTCCGAATTCATCAATCTGCACACAGATAACAATGGAAACCAAACTATTAAGAGCAAAAGCACATGTGAACTGACAAGTGTGAGCTTACAACAAGATAGTTGCAAGAGTTGCCTCAGCACGTCTTCAACATAGCTATCCATGATTGTGTGCGGTCCATCCCCCAACATCCCAAACTTGTCGGTGGAAATGCTTGGCTCCCCGCATATTGCAGCCCGAGCTTTCCCCCTTCCACCTACGCGTCGTTCACCCCGGAAATGAGTATGGCCCCCCAGAAATGAAGCGACGGAGAGGGAGCAGAAGATAAATTTGTATAGCCAACTTGTACAATTAAAAGGCTCACCTTCCCATGTTCCGAAGGGACCATAAATGCAATAGAACCTCCCAATTCGGCATTCAAATCCGAATTCCTCGTGGTAGCGCTTGCACAACACCTCCGTCTCAGGCTTTTCAAAGCCAATGGGATATTGACGCTGAAAGCCAATTGAGCAAAAATTATATCTCATTCAATTGCATAACAAGGATGAAGCAGAGCGCTGGAGCACATGACAAGAAAAAGATAACAACGAGAACATGCCTCAACGAGACAGGCAACGGATTCGTTGAGGCTCACGTTGGTCTCCGCCTGCTTGAGTTCCGGATTAATATAAGCAACGGAGGCATCAAAGAACCTGCACGGACCATAAATAGCATGTGTTACTGCAACCCGTTAGTCGCATTAAATCAAGTATTGCAATACATCAAAGACAAGATAAGTCACCTCTGCACACCGTTGATTCTCGCTGCCTCGACCATGTTGTAGCCAATTATGGTGTTGTCATCCTTGGTCACCGAGGGGTTGGACTCAATGAAACCCAGGCCTTTCGCAGAGGTGGCGAAGTGAAAGATAAGGTCGACTCCCCTAGTGACCTTCAAGCAGTCGTCCATGACGGTCGGGTCGACGATGTGATATTCATCACAGAACTCATCCTCGGCCATGTGCTCGTTCTTTGTCCAATCGGAGGCGATAATATGGTGTCCCTCCTTCTTCAGATGCTGACAGATGGCGGAGCCCATTCGACCAGCTGCCCCAGTGACGGAAATCCGGAGTTTCTCAGACGGCCGGAAGAGCTCCTTCTTGGGGGCCTCATACTCATCGGTGAACGCGCGGTGATTGGGTCCGTCGATGCTTCCCATTCTGCAAAAATTATTGAGGAATAGTATTAGAAAAAATACACAGAACCTGAACGAAGTCCTGAAGCTTTTGAAGGTTTTCTTTTTTAGCTACCTTCTTGGACAGAGAAGAAGAAGAAGAAGAAGAAGAAGAAGAAGAAGGTGATGTGCGGAAAGTGGTAGGGGGTCCGCGATAAGAGATCGTTATTTATAGGGAAAAAACCACCAAAAACCCCAAACTTTTTCATCTGTGACACATTTACCCCGAACTTTTTTTTGTGACACCAAAAACCCCAAACTTTATTATTTGTGACACATTTACCCCGATATACATTGTCCATGGGCATTTTCGTCTTTTTAGCTTTTTCTTTTTCTTCGAGCGAGGGCGAGCCTCGCCGGCGTCGGGCGAGCCTCGCCCTCGCTCGCCCAGGGGAGGGCGAGCCCGCCCGACGCCGGCGAGGCTCGCCCTCGCCGGGCGAGCGAGGGCGAGCCTCGCCGGCGTCGGGCGAGCCTCGCCCTCGCTCGCCCGGCGAGGGCGAGCCTCGCCGGCGCCGGGCGAGCCTCGCCCTCCCTCGCCCAGGCGAGGGCGAGGCTCGCCGGCGTCGGGCGAGCCTCGCCCTCGCCGGAAAGAAAAAAAAAAGTAAAAAGAAAAAGAAAAAGCTAAAAAGACGAAAATGCCCGTGAACAGTGTATATCGGGGTAAATGTGTCACAAATAACAAAGTTTGGAATTTTTGGTGGTTTTTTCCCTTATTTATAAGGTACATTGTTGGACAACGCGACGCGCGTGCAAATGTCTGAAACATTTTTGCAATATATATATTTATTTGTATTTTCCAGTCAAAGTGAGGGCGCAAGACCCACTCTACATTCCGTTTCACACCGTGTGTCATATTCCGATAATTACTAAAATCTCCAAGGAGTTAACGGGCCGGGGAACAGTCAGAGATAAAGCGCAAACCGGGAGGAGCATTTGATAAATTAAAAGTTCTTTTATTCGTGTGATCGACTCGAAGAAATACGCTGCGTTTGATACCGGTGCAGGCATCTACTGGTGTCGAACTGTGTGTGAGTGATTGAACAACCGGACGACCAAACGCTGAGGCTCCGGAAATCGACTGATAAATCTTGGGTTTCTTTCGCTTTATACAGAGAAATCGGCTGTTATTAAATAGAATATTACGCATCACTTAGATGAGACGAGGATGAATTTTACTTTCCACCCCGGTATTTACGCATTTTCTAAATCAAACCTCAGGTACTTTCATCATAACTTATCAAATATTTTCATTTTCACGAATTTTTTAATCAAATATCTGCAACAACAAATCTAGCGACATGGATAAATTTTTTTCTATATGCGAGTTCACATGAGCGTGGTGTCTATGTAGGCGCCAAGATTAGCTAATAAATTTTAGCAAGGTGCTTTCGTTGTTGTGGAAAAACGAGTCTTCGTATCTTAGTACATGTAATAATTTATTCGGAGCAATTAGAGCAGGATCCACTTTTGTGGGGAATATGAGTCAAAGCATTACTCTAGCTTGCATTAATACTGCGTCGACTGAATATGGTAATAAGAGAGATTTGGTAAGAAAATCTATGAAAGTAAGAGAATTTGATTAGATATTAAAAATATAAAAACTTAAATTAGAAAACATATGAAAGTATATTTACGAAAAGTAAAAACTTTTCCTAAAATCATCCTAGCCCGTCACGCAGGGAAAAAAAAAACAGAGGAAGTGTTTTGGCTCTCGCTTTGACCATGAATCTATATTGATCTATTTTTACCATCTTAAAATTATCGAACTCCGTATCGCCGGTGCATCCTTATTAGCTAAAGGATGCGTCTCATGTAATGACTTAGGTTAAGTTTGAGAAAAATTTAGAAAGTTTAAGCATTGGTGTTTGGTAGAATCATTCGACAGCTGCTTTGTAAAGTTTCACAAATTTAGGGTTTTGCTCAAATCTTGGAGATTTGAGTTGGGGGGGGGCGGGGTCACACTTATCAGTCGCGTCAGTGGCAGCAAAAAGAAAAAGGGGGCTAGATCTTGGAAGTGTCGGAGAAGAATATTGCGTGCAGATGGCGGAATTTTGCTCCGCGTCAACGGAAACCGTTGAAAGTGGCGGAAGTTTGCTCGGGATCGCGATTCAGACCGTTGACGCGATCCCGAGCAAAATTCCGCCATCTGCACGCAATATTCTTCTCCGAAACTTCCTTCTTCTTGTTCTTTATGTAGACTTTTTTATGAACGGAAGTGGTGGTATAGTTAAGTGCAAGTGGACGGGCAATTTCACTTGATTTCCTATCTACCGGATAAGAGATTCAAGAAACGACTAAAATACAATGCTAATTTTTTCCTCATTTATCTTCTTTCATTCGGTTGATGACGGCTCGTGGAGACGCGTTTCGATGGTGATGCTTGTGTGTTTCAGCTTAAGCTCTTGTTTTTCGCGATGGGTATCTCACGGACAAAGACAATCCATCATTGCGTGCTTATATGATTATTTCAAAAGTAAAAAAGCCAATGAACCTCAATGCAACTTGTTTTCTTGAAAAAAAAAACAAAAAAATGATAATAAATCTATTAATCCGTGTATTTTTTTTTTTTAAGTTGGAAGAAAAAAAAGTGCACTTGCATTCCGAAAAAGCTCAAAGCTCAAAGCTCAAAGCACCTCCGACGCCGGCGAGGGCGACTCTCGCTCGACGTCGGCAAGGGCGGCCCTCGCCTAAGGCCGTCGCCGGTTAGGCGCAGTGACTGTTGGAGAAGAAGAAAAAAGGGAAAAAAAAAAAGAAAAAGGAAAAAAGAAGGAAAGTAAAAAAAATTTAAAAAAATATACTCATAATTTTTTCGACTAAAATATCCCTTCTCTGAGGCCGGAATAGTCACTAGCCGGCCAAAGGTCTTTATTTACACAATAAAACGAGTCGAGACATGAAAATACCCAATAAAGAATGCGGGTCAGGTTTAGGGTTTTTTATTTTTTAAAGATCCCCAATTTTAGGACACAGTCACACTGGATTTCCTACTTTAGAAGAAGAAGAATAAGAAAAAAATCGCGTGAGACACGAGGAGAGAGAGCGAAAGAGATTTTCCTCCTTTTTTTTTTTTGGTAAGGTAAGTGGTATAACTTTTCAACGCACAAAATACAAGAGTGAAGCCGAACACAAAAACCTCGTACCTGAGGAGACAAAAGATGTCCCGACAGGTGCAAAGGTGTTATGACTAAAAGAGGAGCAACAAGTGCGCACTAAAAGGCAAGGTTGAGACAACCAGCCAGCATAAAAAGGAAAGGAAACTACACAACTATACAAGGATCAGAAAAAGGAATCGTTTGATACCGGTGCGGGCATTTGCTGGTGTTGAACGGAATCTAGTTTTATTCGCCGTTTCTCTGGAGTATCTATTTAGTGACTTATCTTGTCTAAGTGATAAGTGATCGACTTAGAATAAAAGTGTGACGTGTATTTCATATTTCGACAAATAAAACTTGGCTTTCTTGATTTACACATAGAAATCGACTGTCATTAAATACATAATACGCATCACTTAGATGGAATAATGATGAATTTTACTTTTCGCCCATGTATTTACGCATTTTCTAAAACAAATCTCTATACTTTTATTATAACTGATCAGATCTTTTCATTTTCCCAAATTTTTAAATAAAATCTCTCTGACACCAAATTAAGCTGACATAGGGGATTTCGAAGTGTAACATGGATAACATTTTTTTTCAATATAGACATCCACACGACAATTGCATTGGCTAAATGGTAACTCCAACATATGCCAGCGATTTTCACACGGTGGCGTCTATGTAGGTACCCACATTGACTAAATTTTATGCACATCATACTCTACCGTTTGCATTATGACTATGTCAATTGGATTTGGCTAGAAAATCTATGAAAGTAGAATAATTTGATTATACATCCAAAATATAAAAAATAATCTTCAATTAGAATAGATGTGAAAGTGTATATGACAAAACTTTTCCTACGAAAGCGGCCACTGCCCAACCTGATTTTTTTCCGTATCACCAGAAGCATTGTACCCAACATGCTTATCAGCTAAGAAATCGAATTGACGCGTCTCATGTAATGAATTAGGCTACCTTTGAGAAAAAGATTAGATAGTTTTTGTTGCGGAGAACCGGGGCAATAATTCACCAAGAACCCAGCCCAATCCATGATCAATATCTCCCCCACAATTAAATCGACCGAAATCGACTTAATCCTAGCCCTCGATCTCACGAATAACATACTACAATTTGCGTCAATTCCAACATCGTTTGGCGTTTGAAATCTGGACCACAAAATTCAGCCCCCTTCTTCCTTGTTTTCCCTGCACTCTCGGTGACCCCACTTTTCTTTCTCTCTCCTCCCCTTTTGGGCACATACTTGCACGAAGCACTCTCTTTTTATTTTCTTCTTCCTTTTTTTTTTATAGATATTTTTGACTTTTGTTTCTTTTCTTTTTATTTTATTTTATGCTGGCCAGGCGCTGCATAAGGTGGACTCAGTCAACAGTTTTGAACTCCCGAAGCCTTTCGACCGTAAGCCGGGGCGTTTGGTAGAACCATTTGACAGCTCATATTACCGTAGGAAAATGGTACGATAATTACGTTTGTGGCAAAGACATGTTGGCACTGAAAGTGAAATGTGCCAAACTACAAAATCAAGAGCGTGGTTCCCTAAGAAGAAAAACCCTAAAAATCTCTTTCCAGAACCTGTCCCGCTGCTCTCCCCCGCCTGACACGCATAGCGTGCTCGCTTAGAGAATATTTTATTCGACGATTACATAATCGACAAGGTATAATCAACCATTAATGCTTGATATGTATCCCAACTCAAACATTTGATATTATAAAAAAAAAAAATTTGTATTCGCTCAAAAGATGGTGATTTTATTACTAAAAAGACTAAGGTTATGGCGATGGCGATTGTTTTTTTTTTTTCTTTTGTTTTTGGCTTGACCAGGGTTGGATGTACCTTTCCTTTGTTAGCTGTCGCCTTTTAAGTGAACCAACAGAAGTGGCTGCATACATGGCCGCCCGGGAAAGATGGACAGGACTGCAAATGGAAAAAAAAAGGAAAGAAAAGAGAAAAAAAAGAAAAAGGAGAAAAATCTATGCGAAACCACCTGGTTTTGCCTAAGTTTTTCCACGGCAGACATTGACCATGCTACGTAGGATAATTGATCACAATGTCAGCGATTTCAGACTTAAATTGGCTACAAGAGTTACATTGAAATTTTTTTCTACGTAGGTGTTTAAAAGCAGCGGAATCGGGCGTGAGCGATCCACCCGCGCTTATATTGAACCAAGTCGGAAATCCTTCTCCTTCTCCGAAAGAGTCAGGTGTCATGGAGACGACTGACCTTTTTTTTTTGTTTCCTAAAAGTAACCCCTTTATAATATCCACATGGATCTCAATTAGAGATAAAGATCGACATCATTGCTTCAATAAAATTAATCTTAATGGCACTTCCGTTTTGAGTGCACGGACTTGTGTATGTAGACATCATATAATAATAGCCGGTCTTGATTCGACAGTTCAACTCGATTTCACTAAAAATATGATCAAAGTACTGGGGCTCCAGATGAAAAATTATACAGGGACTGGCTTTATATTAGAGCTAGATATTTTGAACTTCGCTAGAGGTGCATGAATTTAATGTCTTAACTTTCATGCAGAACACGTGCACGTAAGCGCCGCATCTCAATAGCAAATGCTCAATCGATAAATTTCATTGGGTTTTTTTAATGAAATTTTTAAGAAATGACTTATCGTAAGTTTGAGAAAGCTTAAGAAAGTTTTAAACTCCCAAGTCCTTTTGACCACAAAATTTCGTAGTCGGCAATATTAAATGGAAAGCCCTTCGGCTCAAATCCTACCTTTTCAAAGCTCAATCGTGGAAGCAGATACCCAGTTACTTTCGCTATAGTCAAAAGCTACTTTATAACCTTTTCACGAACCGACACTTAAATTATCGTCAGAATATAGTACAAGAACTCCATTTGCGGCAAAACAAAATAGGACTAAAAGTAAATCCGTTCAAAACTACAAAATTGGAAGTGTAATGTACTCAAACAACCCTAAACCTCTTTTGAGAGCCTTTCCCCTTGCTCAATGGACTTGTAGGCTAATTTTAGCAATGGGCCTATATGGTTTTTCTCAAGCCCTCACATGCCGCACGCGCGCAGTGTGTTCTTCTTTTTAATTCTAATTGAAAGCTATCACCGTCGTTTATATTACATTTTATGAATCGATCGCATAAGTAAGATAATATACCCAACCAATCATACTTGATACGCATCTCAACCAATGTTGCATTTAAATTTTGGAAAATAACTGGTCCCCCAAAATATGACATATAACTAAAAGTGGAAGGCGAAGGTATATATATGTTAGTCACTAAAAAGAATGTCAAGCGTTGGAATTCACTAAGGGGAGGTGTGACGATCATGAAAAGTAAATTAACAATGAGAATGTCTCGACCCATTTGTTATCCATAAGAAAACTGCTATTTTCTTGCTGAGTACGCTATATTTTAAACCTTAGAATCCTCCCATCAAGTGAAAAATACAGTAGTCCACTAGTTACTTGTGAGGTGAATTCTCTAAAAAACCCTCAACTTTAGGTCAAGTGTCAAATCTGTCCCAACTTTTTTTGTTTTAGAAAAAACCTCAAACTTCAGGTCCATTTATCTGTCTCGAACTTTTTTTTATCTCAGAAAAAACCCCAAACTTAAAGTTCAGTTCCAAATCTACCCCGAATTTTGTTTTGTGTAAAAAAAATCAATAAATTTCAATTTATTTTCAAAAATATACCATGTGATCTAGTCCCAACTTGATGTGGCACTTCCACATCGATAATAAATCCACATCAGTAAAGTAATGGGGCGATTGGTACAGATTGACATTGCATTTCCACTTCGATAACAAATCCAACCCAATAAAAATTGTTGAAATTCTCCAAAATAAAACCATTCTAAGATATGAAAGTTAAGGACGATAAAAATCCACCCCAATTGTTTTTTAATTTTTAAAAAAACCCAATTTTTAGGTTTAGTCCAAATTGGCGCTGAACTTTTCTTTGTCTAAAAAAAGCCCAATTATTTTGTTGATGTAGATTTGTTATCGACATAGAAGTGCCACATCAAATTGAAACTGGATCACAAGGGTATAATTTTAAAAATAAATTGAATTTTGTTGTTTTTTTTTACACAACAAAATTTGGGACAAATTTGGGACCAGACTTAAAATTCGGAATTTTTCCTGAAACAAAAAAAAAGTTCGAAACAGATTTAAAACTTTACCTAAAGTTGGAGGGTTTTTTAGAAAATTAGGCCGTTGCCTATGCATGTACGTTTTCTTTGTCAATCGTCACCTCTCAAGTGAATAAATAGAAAATAAGACTTGCTTCCTGTGCTTCTTGAAGAAGACAATCCATTCCCTCAATTTCCTTTCTATTAAACTGTCAAGTTGAGGAAATGGAATCCGTTGGAAAGATATCACTAGCACTATGCTCCGTAATGATCTCTCTGGCATTGTATGTGTCTGGGTATGTGGGGTGATCTTGTTATCTGCTTTGTTCATGTAGATAAAGCAAGTTCACTGAGTGATACGAGCTCCGCGCATCTTTCAGGAGTAGTTACTGAAACCAAGAAAATGAGTACGCAAAAAGAATCCGAGTATGTAAGTAGTTGCAGAAGTAGAAGTTCTGGAAAGTACTCTAAATGCAAACACTAAACTCTGACCTATTCCGTTGCAGTGAACTTAGAAAACATGAATTGACTCAGACAAGGAATGTCCTCCCTGCTCAGACCGGAGCAGATATTTCAAAGAATAACAAAGTTCCTACTTCGAAATTCCAATCCACACATTCAAAATTCTCTGAGAAAGAAATTTCCACTTTTCCGGAAATGTATACAGATACCTGAACACCCCCTCCTCTCTCTCTCTCTCTCTCTCTCTCTCTCTCAGTTGCAATTTAGGCACACAGAAGGCCCCAAGGGATTAAAGAAATAATTCAGACGCATACTTGTAGACTTACTAATAGTCAATAGTCAGCTTACTGTCTACATGCGAAAAGCTTTGATAAAATGCCTTGAAATGCTGGTATGCGATGTCAATATCTTCCTTCCCACACACTTCTCTCACGCTGCAAATGTATAAAACAGACATAACCATGACAACAGTTTCACACTTTTCAACATTCACCAGGAAAATAAAGCATCTGTCATGAACAAAAAGCAACCCACCCCGGAAAGATAAAGGAAAAAAATTAAAAAAAATGCGTCTCTGCTGGAAGGTGAAAATAATTCAGCATATCACACAGATCCCTGGTGTTCCTATGTTCAAGACGGTCCATCAAAGGAGCTCTTGAACATAATTTGCATAGACTTATGCATGAATAGATTCCGGAGTCACACACTTAAACGAAGCAGTGCTTAATTCTTGAGAGATTCACATGAAGATTGGAAAAATAATCTTTTGGCATAGAGATATAGCAGTCAAAAAATACCGAGTCATGTTTTTCTTTTCTCTTCTTAAACTAAGCACGGGATTTGTGACTTACTTGCCTATTGAGCAACAAGCTTCAGCAGATGTGATGAGTACAGACCAGGGGACCATCATAATTAATCACACAAGGTCAATTCAATACCTGTGCATGGAAAGTTGAGCAATGCCACAATCAACAGTGCGGATACCAACTCCTGATGCCAGTATCGGACCTATGGTGGATCCACATCCCATGTCATTTCTAACTGCAAATTCCTACACCCAGAATAGTCATGTGAAAATTTTTGTACTAGGTCTCCCGTATAAAGCATGGCACAACTAGAAACTTCAGACAGAAATGATCTAGAAAAGAAATTGACCCGTTACATTGGTAACTCTGTCCTAAACCTGCATAAATAATGATATCCATATAGCATAGAGAGATTGATTTCAAATCTACATTAGCAATGACACCATATTTCAACATAATTACTGAATACACACTCATTTACATACGTGTGTGTGTTTGAGTTTGTGTGTGTGTGTGTGTGTGTGTGTGTGTGTGTGTGAGAGAGAGAGAGAGAGAGAGAGAGAGAGAGAGAGAGAGAGAGAGAGATTGATGAAGAGATGTCCAGCAAGAAATAAAGGTGAAACCACGGCAGCTTTCAAGCAACCATATAAAATGACCAAAACCTCCAGACTATGAAAATCCTTAGAAACTTGTGGATAACAACTTTTAAAACAGAGAAAGATAAGGATAACGTGTATAATCCTTGGAAACCTCCAGACTATGATAATGATCTTCTTGCTTCTCTTGCGGTAAAATCATCTTAAGAAGCATAAGGTCCTACCTTTCTCTTCGGTCCACAGAAATGAAAAGTAGAATTAGGACAAAGTTAATTGCTGAAAGCTGATCTAATTATCATAGACTATTAATACTAACATGTAAGGAATAGTGGTTCTTAGTTACGCAAATGGCCAGAATAACGTAGTATCTTTTTTAATTAAAGACTGCAGGCTACATGTCAATATCTTGCTTCACCACAATTTGGAGATGACAACTAAATTTCCCAAGGGTCTAATATGCTAGAGAGTTTCTTGATCGAACTATAACAGAAGCTTAAGTTTCAAGAGACATCTCTCATTGTTAAAACTGAATCTACCTGTGTTGGCAAGTTATGGATTTTGCCCACTTCTTTGAAAAGAAAAGCGGTAATGCCGCTGGTGGCATAATGCTGATTGGCATTGTGCTTAATTACTAGCCCCTTCTGCATTTCAGGTCGATGGTGTTCCTCATGCTTGTCCATAAAATTTGGGTGAACTCCATGAGCCATGTCTGCGGAAACTGCATAATCCTAGATGTCAGCAGTTATGGAAGTACACATCATATTAGTATGAAAATAAAACATGATAAAATGACAAGTTTATTAGCTGTGTGTATTCAATTAGGAGATCACAGGAGCTCCTCAAAGTGTCTTTAAGAAAAATCAGAAGAAATGTACACATGTAAAAAAAAAAAAAGCTTATTATTGTTTGCTGTCAACCCAAATTTAAACCCTTTAATATCTACAATATTATTAGAAGAGTGGGTAAAATTGAGCTTTGTGGTTGAGCAACTTCATCACAAAGGTCCATTGCCTCTCGCTGCTCTTCGCAATTATTAGAAGCCACCACCATATAGATTTTTTCTTTTGCCACACAATATCTTTTACATTTATCACACACACACACACACACACACACACACACACATAAGGACAAGCCGGCCTCGAAGCTAATCTAAAAGACAAGAAAATCTCTTTAAACTCCATGCAGGCATAAATATGCATAATACAGATGTAATTTGATATATAGTCAACAAGTACGAAATAATAAATAGGAGGATGCAGCACCAATCTCATAATGATAAAAGCAAAACATACCAAGAAATGATTTCCGTATCGCACGCTCAAAAGCATTCTCCCCAACATACTTATCAGCTAAGGAATCAATGATGCGTCTCATGGCCTGAAACATGGTCGGTGCACCAGCACCTTGAAAGGAATCTGAACCCACCTGATCAATAGAGTTAACAGCTTTACTACTACATTCAAAGTAGTACAGCAAGATTGATGCATAAAAGCTGATCCATCCACTACACTCTCCCAGCATGAGTGTATTTATTGCTGCTGATGTGAATCAGAGGATAATGAAAATTTTTCTGACTACAGTTACCTAACAATATAAATGGTTAAGTATCATCTTGTTAATTATCTAGCTCGTGTTTGATACAGGTCAGAGTGAAGACAAAACTACAGAAAATATCTAGACAATGATATTGGATGTTTACTTCCTTTACAATGGGGACAGATTTGAATATAATTCTATTACAAACAGCACTTACATATCCCTTTTTATCTGTAAGCATAGCACAGTTCTATGCATAAGCATAACTTTCTACTGATCTTGAAATGTTCATGTATTAACAGAAAGTATCTGGTAGCAAAGAACTCTAAACCTTCTTATCCCTCAGTCATAACAATATTCTGATTAATAAGAGGAAACTTGAACAGTATTCTTTCTAAAATATCATCAATGTGACTAAAAACCTTGGACCAATGGCTAAATCAGCAAAGCAAAAAAACTATCTGAATTCTTAAACTCCTTTTTCAGACGCAGGAGCAGGTGGACACCCTTGCTTTTGTCTGCATAGTTTCTTTTAGGTAAGAGGAGTGGGTGAGTATAAAATGGAGATAAGAATATGTTAACCGAAGGATACAAATATGCCCGAGAACTTTACCTCTTCATTGTCAAATAAAGCAACCATCCGAACAGCATGCTCAGTTGATAAATCTGCAGTTAATCTACAAGAGTCAATTAGAGCTCTCAATGCACAATAGCTTGAAGCAAGATTATCCAATCTTCCTGAAAAGATGAACTCATTGTTGCCACCCCCAAGGCAGCTAGGTTGGGTATCACAAAGATTCAACTCGATACTCATGATATCATCTGCACAGCATCCAAGTTCATCGGACAATATCTGGAAGAGAAAAAAGAAATGTTAAATAGTTGACATAAGGAATTTCTAAGCATTCTCTCTCAGAACCTGAGGTTTGGAGACAACTCCAATAAGTAAGCAGGTGAAACTGACGATCACGTTTCAGAAATACCAATTCAAAAAAAAAAATGCACCACAATAAACAAAGAGAAAAGGAAGGAGAGAAAAAAGAAAGCACATAAAGAAGACAGCATGTCCCAGTAGAAAGTAATCTAAATTGAATATCACCAAATCTTCTGGAACAAATGAGATAGATTTTGCCACCTATACTTTCTATAGAACCTATGAGGTCCAATCTCATTGACTCTTTTGCTTTGCCTCGCCATAATTTAGGAACTTAAGAAGGATATTAGCATAACAACTGTTTTTTTTTTTTGGTAAGGAATTAGCATAACAACTGTTTGTATGCATACACTCATAGAATCTAATATTTTGCAGTTTCCCTTCAAAATTGCAAATAGAGACACTTACCTGCAAAAGCAGGGGATGATGAACAGGCTTTGAGGAAATTGTGGCACCTTTCTCTTTTGACTCTGCAGATGTTTCATTCGTTTTTGTGGAAAGCAGTGGAATGAGGTGTGTTTCCAGGTTAGGCTTAAAACCATCCTTGTTGACCGTGCTAAACCATCAGAAGAAAAAGAATAATATCCCAGCACACTGTCAGCGAGGATATGGAATTGTCACCAAGTGACCAGACAAGATATATATCAGAAACAAACAAAAAATAACTGCAATATGTGTCAAGCACACAAATGAAGACCAAAGCAGAGTAAACATAACAACAAAAAGAAGGCCCAACAGATAATTAGGGCCTATCCTCATATTCATTATCAAGGAAGCCAATCGTACCGGTCAAGGTGAATGGCTAAAGTGGGTACGCGTAAAAGAGGTCTTTTAATTTTGACAAGCTTGTGCAGAAAGGAACCATCACTATCTCTCACTATGACCCTTCCTGCAACACTCAGATCTCTGTCAAACCAAGTATGCCATAAACCACCACCATAAGTCTGCACATTGACCATGAGATAATTAGACTTGGTTGATGCAGATTTTGGCTTCAGTTTTAAGCATGGGCTGTCTGTGTGAGCAGCAACAACATGAAAACCACTGCCAACATCATATCTGCAAACTAAAATATAAAAGGCATAGTTATCAAAAACAATGAAATGGAAAATTCGCTGCCAGTAATGGAAACAAAATGGCCAATTACTTTAGCAAATTTAAAAAAACATAAAAGTTTGCAAATATGATTACTAGTGAAGGAAACATCAACAAGAGAAAGTGCATGAAAATCTTACTTCAAGATTGATTGAAGCTTCAAAAGGCACCAGTTACAATAATTACTTCAGTTTCAGTACTTAGTCTGCTGCCTAGCGCTATTTCCTAAGACATCAACCAGGCAATATGTCCTGATGACGTTTTACCGGCACTTCACAGAACCAACGTCAAGTATATAAGTTTATTGCAAGCCTGCCTCTACACCAGCCAATTCCCTCTACCAACAATATGATAATTAAATCAATAAGTTCTTCACTGACCTTTCTCCTACAGCAAAAGCAATTAAACAAGACATATTCCGCGTAAAGAAGTAGCGTCCTCCAGGCTTTAGGTTCCATTCATCATTTTCATTCAGCAAATGAAATCCAGCATTGATTAATTGTCTTTTTGCTTCAGCTGGAAACACGAAGGTAAAAAAGCATCGTCAGAATGTTATGGAAAAGCACATTTAGTTGTACCAATTGGATATGTCAATAACAAACAAGACTATAGCCTCAATACTGGTTATGTATCGTCAAGATCAATCTCACCAGAGGTTTCAATGAAATCTTACATAACTATCCCTGCACATGGAGCCTCAGTGCAATCATACTACAGATTGTGGTGATTACATGTTAAACTCTGCTACATAAAAAGTTCCACTTACCCAGTGGAAAGGACTTGCAGCAGTTCATCTAACGATGCTCGCGCAGGAAGGGCCTATCTATTATCCATAACTACTTTTCTTTTTAAAATTCTTGCCTCAGAACAGTTGCTTAACATTCACCACACAGAGAAAGTCTAAAACTCCTTCCCCTCTCAAAAGCTGATTATGTAAGCAACTAGGATGAGATGAACCTCACTAGATGTAATCGAAACATCATGCTTATGGCATAGAACAAATTCCTGGAAAGCAGATCAAATATGTCCAATATTAAAATCAGAGTAAAAAACAATAAAAGCTACTCTCTCCCATTTGGTCCTCACGAAAGGATTAAATTAAAGCATATCAAAGTAGCATTTGCAATGTTCTCTAACTCTTCAGATTGTGAGTTAAGCCTTGACACCTTGAATTTGTTAGTAAGAAATTCATGAGCAAGAATATATCACGACACTAATGGCAAACCACATTGCCTAATATAATACACACCAGATTTCTAAGACCAACCACTACTTGACCAAAGCAAGGGTTTGACCTCGAACCAAAGGAAATTGATTTAATTTGAGGATATGGGGCCTTGTTGCAGTACCATCCATCTATTAAGCATACCATACAAAGGAGTTCCATTCATGTGCAGGATACGGAATATGGATGGCTTCATACATTTTTCACCTTCTTTTAATTATAACTGCAAACATTTGATGGAGAGACTAGCAAATAAGCAGAACCCCGAATATCAGATATTAAATACTGATCCAAACTGCAAACTTCTGGCATAACACATCAGCTCCTTTTTTGCGACGGTATCATTTCAGTTACTCAATTGAATATCTTCAAAGAATCTGTTGATCATATACCTAGCGAACTCAAAACTGTCTATACTGATTGCCACGTATAGATTGATGTATCATGTAGGAATTGCGGCATCAGAATTATGACCATTGGAGAAAATTCAGGAAGCAAATTCAGTCTTCCAAAACATCCAGAACAACAAAAAACACCTAAAGCTTATACGATGCCTTTTACAAGTACTTTCCGTGTGTTTAACAGCAACTGAGCACCTATAGGAGGAGCTCCTACACGAGAAAGGAACCGTAGCGAAAAGCATTGCAGCTTTCCAACTCTTCCAAGGCAGCAGACGTATAAACACATTTCGAACAAAACACGACAAGCTAAACATCATAATCAAGCTCAACTACCTCAAACCAAAGCGCAAACCACAAACGACGGAATTTGAAGTACCTGTAGCATGAAACTGAGTCCAGGACTCATTGAGGTAATCCAAGAGGTCCCCGACGATCGAACCGCTCAACGCGGCCGACGGAGAAGCGCCCTGATTTGCAAGCAAAGCCGTCACAGAGACACGGATGAGCACGAAATCACACACGCACAGGAACCACCAAACACGCATCGATTCACAGCGATCGAGCGAGAGAGAGAGAGAGAGACCTGAGGCGATTGATCAGCGCTGGAGCAGAGGCGAGGGAGAGTGGAGACCTTGCGAATGCGGGAGCCGCGCGGAGACGGCGAAGGCTTCAGGAACAGAAGAGAAGGCCTGGTGATGGTGGTGGGAGGATGCAGGAGATGCAGACGAGCCATCGCTGCCGCCATTTTCGTTCTGCGGGGTTGCTTCAGCTTCCTATCTGAACTTGAGTCGAAGCTTTGAGGGAGCTACAACAGAACTCTTTTATTTTTGGAGGAAATTGCGGAACGGTCCCTGTACTACAGTCGCTATTTAATTTCGATGCACATACTTTATCTTTGTTAACAGATTTAGTCCCCGAACTCGCCTCCAATCCCAATTTTAGGAGGAATTCCACCCTTTCGTCTCGATATCGGCGAATAATTATTAAATTATTTGCCCTCCACGTACAAACATTGGATAGCAAATGATATTGGAGAGGTCTCGGCTGTTAAAATCGAAACAAAAGGAAATGCCTCTATCAAAACAGGAAAAGCTAGAGTGAAACTTAACCTGTCGTCTCCTCTGCAGTCGGGCTTTATTATCAGCAACGAAGGGAAGAAAGTCTGGCTTGACTTTAAGTATGAGAGGCTCCCACACTATTGTTACTCTTGCGGCAAGATAGGTCACTATGCTACCTACTGTGAGGAGGTGCCATACAACGAAAAAAATTTCGCTTCAGAGAATGGATGTATTTTTGGCTCATGGTTAAAGACCGAGGATCAACAAAATAGCCCTTTCTAGAAGATTTTTTATGGGAGAAAGGAAAAAGCTAGCGGTGAAGAAGAAGAGGTCCCAGGTACTCCGGCAAACCCAGGACAGATGGTGCTATATGAACCAGGGACCTCCAGCCAACCGAAGCAACCAAATAGCAGCAAGGTGAGGAAGGGAAAGGAGGTACTTATTGGAGATTACAATTTTGAAGTGCAGGACAGCCAAATGACTGAAGTAATCCCACCTTTTGTCACGAATCTTGCACAAATAGAGGTAATTAAGACCATAGTCCCAGTTTATCAGAAGAAAAAGCTTTGCGAAAAGAAAATTCCAGTTGGCAAGAAAGCAAGGAGGTACAAACCCTACAATACTCAACAATCTAACATGTCGGTACTTGATGAAACTCAGTTACTTGATGCCCCTGTCCAATTGGCAGCAGGGAATGAACAATGGGCTCTGGTGGCTAGCCAGAACAAGCCACCGGGTTACACATGAAATTTCTGTGTTGGAATTGTCAGGGGTTGGGCACACCCCTGACAATTCAAGCCATCCAAGCCCTAGTGGCTGAGGAGAGGCCCAGTTTGCTTTTCTTAATGGAAACAAAAAACCAAGAAGAAGTGGTATTTCGTTTAAAGCAACGTTTGCAGTATCAGAACTTTTTTGTGGTGAATCCAGTAGGGATCGCAGGAGGGTTGGCACTCATTTGGGATGATAGAATCTCGGTTAAAGTGGAGTCTCACTCTCCACACTTTGTGGATGTGGTTGGGGAGTAGATAACAAGTAGGCGAAGAATGCGTATCACCTTTGTTTATGCACCAAATGACTTTCAAGCAAGACTCCACATTTGGGGAGAATTGTACCAGATAAGCTACTCCAACAACCTTCCATGGGTTTGTGCTGGGGATTTCAATGAAGTTCTTTACCTCTGGGAAAAAGTTGGAAAGCGTTTGGCAGAGAACTACAGAATGAAGGCTTTTCAGGATTTCTTAGATTCTTGCTGCCTCATGGACCTAGAGAGCAAAGGGTGTGCGTATACATGGGCTAACAATAGGGAAGGGGATGCATATGTGAAGGAAAGACTAGATCGAGCAGTATGTTCTATGGAGTGGAGAGTCACTTTTCCGGAAGTAGAGGTTTATGCATTACTGGCTATTGGGTCCGACCATAGCCTGCTATTAATTTCTCAATCCCCAGGACACGCAAAAAGGAGAAAGGAATTTAAGTTTGAAGCTTTCTGGCTGGAAGAGTTTGAATGTGGGGAAATAGTAAGAGATGCTTGGCTGAAGGCAGAAGATACTAACCAGAATTTGTTGACAAAGCTACAAAGAGTTTCTGGTGAACTAGAAGTCTGGAGTAAAAGCAAGTTCACAAATGCTCATAAACGAATCAAGAGCCTGAAGAAGGAAATTCAGCAACTTACAAACCATTCAAGTGGAGGACAAGCCCGACAAAGAGTTCAATCGCTGACGGAAGAAATCGAAAAATTGTGGAGGCAGGAAGAAATGTACTGGGGATTAAGATCGAGAATAAATTGGTTAAAGTGGGGAGACAAAAATACAAGGTATTTTCATGCTATCACCATACAAAGACGGCAGAGAAACAGAATTACAATGCTGAAATCTGAAAATGAGGAATGGATACGAGATGTTGATCAATTAAAGCAATCAACGGAGAATTTCTTTAAGAACCTTTATACTTTAGAGGGCTCCCGCAGTTTTCAACTAGTGTTAGAAAATTGTCACAACTTGGTTGGAGAAGAAATAAACTATTGTCTAACAACTGAAGTGACACTAGAGGAAGTAAATGCAGCAGTTTTCCAGTTGGGAACCACTAAGGCACCAGGTCCGGATGGACTAAATGGGCAATTCTATCAACACTTTTGGGAAGAGGTTCAGCATGATGTATTCAAGGAGGTCCAAAATTTCTTTACGTCCGGAATGTTAAATCCAATTTTAAACAAGACTCATATCGTCCTTATTCCCAAAGTACCTAACCCGGAGACATTGGAACAGTATCGCCCTATAAGTTTGTGCAATTTTATTTATAAAATCATCTCAAAAGTCTTGGCTAACAGACTAAAGCCTTGGCTTCCAGATTTGATATGCGAAGAGCAAAGTGCTTTTGTTAGTGGACGACAAATCCAAGACAATATCCTAATTGTCCAAGAGGTGCTTCATCAACTAAGGGTGAGAAAGAGAAAGAGAAAGTTCCAAGCGGTGCTGAAACTAGATATGAAAAAAGCGTACGATCGAATAGAGTGGGATTTCCTGGAAGCTTGCTTGCTGAAATTTGGTTTTTGCACAAAATGGGTAAACTGGATAATGCAATGTGTTTCCACGGTGACTTTCAGTGTTAAATTAAATGGAGAGCCATTGCCCTACTTTCAACCTTCGAGGGGTATCCGACAAGGTGATCTGTTATCCCCCTATCTGTTTATATTGGTTGCCAATGTACTGTCTTTGCTGATGAAAAAAGCTGTGGGGGATGAAAACATCAAAGGAATTCGTTTCAACAATTATTGCCCCACTTTATCCAACTTGTTATTCGCAAATGACTCAATATTCTTTCTAGATGGGACAATCACTGAATGCCAAAATATTGCTTCAGTTCTAAACCAATACTGCTTTGTTTCATGCCAAGCAGTCAATTTAAATAAGTCGGGAATCTTTTTCAGTAAGGAGTGCCCACAGAATTTAAGAAGAAATATGGCAAAACAACCGAGAGTCCCTGAGATAGAAAAAATGGGCAAATATTTAGGCATTCCATCTGATTGGGGGGAATCGAAAAAACAGATGTTTGCTTGGATTACCGCGAGAGTAAACAAGAAGCTTGAAGGTTTGAAGGAAAATCTGATATCGAAAGCGGGAAAGGAAGTCCTCATTAAATCAGTAGTACAAGCACTACCTCAGTATGCGATGTCCATTTTCAAAATTCCAGTCTCCATTTGCCGAGCTATCGAGAAAAAGATAGCTGCGTATTGGTGGAAAAACGACATAAAGCAAACGGGTTTGCATTGGAAAAGGTGGGAAACCTTGAAGTATAGAAAGGATGCCGGAGACCTTGGATTTCAGGATCTATTGACTTTCAACAAGGCTATGTTGGGAAAACAAGCGTGGAGGATATCACAAGATCCTTCATCTTTGTGTAGTCGTTTTCTAAAAGGAATATATTTTCTAAGAGAGAATTTTTGGTGCGCTAGGAAAGGAAGTAGACCTTCTTGGGGATGGCAAAGCCTTGTTATTGGAAGAGATGCCATACAACCATCGATCAGATGTGTAGTCAATAATGGGGAAAAGATTAATATTAGAGAAGACAGATGGCTTAAACGGGGTTTGATTGGGGGACCCTTGAACATAAACGAACCTAGAATGGTGTCAGATCTAATTATAAAAGAAGAGGAATGCTGGAATGAGCAACTGATACAGGAACTTTTTGATCCAGATACCAGCAATGAAATCTTAGCTACTGCCTTGGGGAACCAGGAAATGGAAGATAGAATGGCGTGGACACCTTCAAAATCAGGAAGTTTTACGGTAAAGAGTGCATATAACAGTAGCAAAGAGGAAACAACCAACCAAGCTTCAGAAAGGGCATCTTCCTCTTATCAAATCCCCAAATCACTGTGGATGAAGATATGGCAATCCCACACATACCCCAAAATAAAAATTTTTCTATGGAGCGCTTGCCAAAATGCCCTTGCTACCAAGGACAACCTTTTCAGAAGGAAAATCTTACCTCACCCCCTCTGTAGTCTCTGTAATCAAAGCCCTAAAACAGTAGAACACGCTCTCCTTCTTTGTCCATGGACGAGGAAAATCTGGAAAAATACAGCTCTGAACATCAATGTCTCCGTTCAAGGTTTGACGCGATTCGAAGTGTGGTTAGCTGAATTTAAACATACCTCGGTTACTTTTGAGCTTCTAACGTTTGTTCTTTGGCAAATTTGGAAAACTCGAAACCACTCTATTTTTCGAGCGCAAAAGCCAAACCCAGAGGAAGTAATGGCTGAAGCAACTGCAATGAAACGAAATCATGATCGGTGGCTCCCTGGGAAGAAGAAAACTACAACAGCAGCAAGCTTCCGCCTCCACCAATGGCGGCCACCAGAACCGGAAGAACTAAAAATTAATATCGATGTAGCCTACTTGCCTGGAACAAATGAAGGTGCAGTGGCGGGTGTCTGCCGAGATAACTTTGGAAACTAATTGATGGCTTCGCGCGATCTATAAGGGCATCTTCAGCAGCTCAGGCGGAGTCGCAAGCCATGGTGGAAACTCTCATGTATTTCTCCACGCGAACTAAAGTCTCACTTAAAGTGGAGTCAGACCATTTTGATCTGATAAGCGCACTCACTGGCAGAGCGCAAATCGGCTGGGAAGTACAAGGCCTTATCAAAAAAGCCCACTCGCTCCTCAAATCTTTCAAGGATTTAAAGTTAGCCCATGTTAATAGAGAGTCCAATAGAGTTGCTGATTGGGTGGTTAAAGCTCAGTGTAAAAATAGATTATCACGAAATTGGCTTTTGAACCCCCCCTCACCCCTCTTAGAGCTTCTTTGTTCTGAAGCAAACGAAGTGTATCCACGTACTTATTTCCAGTGATGAAAGTCGATTCCTTTTCTGACCAAAAAAAAAAAGGTAGAACTTCCTGTAAGGAGATCCTGGGAGCTCTTTACAGATATTTGATACGTGTCCTTAAAACATTTTGATATTGGTATGTCTACATGGCATGGTGATTTAGTCCCCAAACTCATCTCCAATCACAATTTTAAGACGAATTCCACCCTTTCGTCCCAATATCGGCGAATAATTATTACATTATTTGCCCTCCACGTACAAACATTGAAATGACTCCGAAGTTAGAGTTCTCAGGAGCTCTTTACAAATATTTGATTTGTGTTTTTTTAGCATTTTAATATTGCCGTGTCTGCACGACAATGATGACGAGGACGTTGAACTTAGATGCGCATCACTTGTAAATGGAGTGGGACATCCCGGCTCATCATTAAATTTGGAAATGAGAGTGCGCTTCTTGCTATATTCTGGCTTTTGTTTTGTTCCGCAGTTAATTGGCATTTACTAGGCTCGAAAATTACGTACCTCTCTCGAGAATTATTTTGATACAGGAAAATTGGCACCAAGCAAATAAAATAAAGAGAGAAATTTCAGGCATCAAAATGAGGGGGGAAAACAGTACGTTTCAGAAAAATTGACTAGATAGAGAGAGTGCTGCAACGTTCCACAGGCGAATTGCCATGGCGGGAACGCTTCAAACCCTAATCCTCTCCCCTGCAACCTCCAGGACGGTCCGGCTTTGTCCCCGGAACGTCCGATTCTCCTCGCACGGCGGTCGTCTCTCCGTTCGCCCCGTCAAGATTGGTCCAAATCGCTCGGCTTCGCGGCCCATTAGAGCCTGCGAGGCATCATCGGGTCAGGTCAGTTCGGCTCTTGCTCGGACCGGTCGTAGCTGGGAGCTGAGCTGAGGTTCGCTCGCGTGTTCTGAGAAGTCAATGAGAGAATGGCTGCTTGGTTCGACGGATTTTAAACTCCTAATGCACGATGGGGTTGAGAGAGGAAATGTTTCGAGAATGAATTACGTTCTGCATTCAGTTAAAGTGGCGTTTTAGGTTCCGCATTGCGGAATTTCCGAAGAAAATGACTGCTTAATATTATGTCTGTAAAGGATGTGTTGGCGAGAAAAATGGGCTGGAGCCCTTTTTTAAATTGATAGATAAAGATTCTTGGATGTTTTCAGGTAAGTGGAAATGATCATGCTCCCGAAATTCCTGGGAAGGTAAAGGCGGGAAACCCATTCTCGAAGTTCGTTGCGGATAATTTTCTTCCTTTAGGTAATGATATCTGTTTGATGGCATGTATCTTAGTTGGTGCAAAGATTACAAATTCACAGGCTTGACCACGGTACATTTTGGATATATCTATAGCAATCTCTTTAGTTTCTTTTTAGATGCGGAGTTTTCACTCTTCATACTCATAAATGGTTCACTCAGATATGGAGGCCAGTGATTATGTAAGCCTTTGTGTATATGTCGATATGGTGGGTGGCAACTTTCCATGATCTTGAGCTCGACCCGTTTGCCACAGTAATTTAAAGCTTAGCTAAATTTAATGAGCTTTGACAGCTTGAACCAAGACCGTTTTCCTGTTAGTGATCTCGTTCTCTGCTATAAATTCCTTTCTTTCTTGCTAGTCAATAATGATTTTAGTCTGACAACAGTACCCTGGCTTGCTGTTTGTATGAAATGTTTGCGGTGATGATATATTAATGCAATTTCATCTCATGTCACAGCTCTTATAGGTGGAGTTGCCCTAGGACTTGCAAATCCTAGTCTGGGTTGTCTTGCAGATAGATACTATTTATCGAAATTTAGTACCTTTGGGATCTTTATTATATCAGGTTTGGAAGTGAACCTTTTCTCTCATTACATATTTTTCTTTTTCTTTTTTGTGATGCCATCTGTATGTAAAGCTTCCTACATGCTCTAGGATTGACATTGCGGAGTGGAGAAATTGGTGCGGCTGCAGAGGCATGGCCTGTCGGAATGTTTGGGCTTGTATGACTCCAAGTTTCTTTTGTGGGCATGTGCATATTGTAGGTCGATTGTAAACATTGTGAGATATTTTGATATGGTATATCATTTATCGTAGTACAAAATGTACTATTTCAGAACACGTCAATTTGTTTTATTTGACATAGATATTATGTGGTTGTGATCGCAGCCATCTTCTGTGAACTGTATCTTTCCAAGATCTTTTAATTTGCATATGAGATACAGCTAAGGCATGCGTAGGGAAGGGAATTATAGTCTGGCTGTGTACGTCATTCTTGAGCAGTCTCCATTGACTCTGCGTGCTTGATGGCTAACCTAAATTGAATATAGTTTTCGCGCTATAGTGAGTTTTAACTGTTATGCATCTTCACTATGCAGGGATCAATTCTATTGTTCAGTCCATATTTTTCAAAGCTAATTTTGCAAATTCAGCTTCAGCCTCAAGAATTTGTTACAGGTTGGGCATTGATTACTCTCTCTGTCTCTCTCTCTCTCTCTCTCTATGAATTGATTTGTGGACAATATATACCATATTAATATATATGTAATTTCTTTCACGTTGTTTTTAGGAAGACTTTTTTCCTAGCTTGTTTACCTGAATATTATAGATTCCATCATCAATATCTGCTCATATATTCAATATCAAGTTAAAATGGATGTGCAAACTTGGGCGCCCTTTTATATGTACATAGGTATTTGTTATCTCTCTTTTGGGCTATCTTTCTGTTATGCCTTTCCAATCATGTATTCGATACTGTCTCTGTTGCACCTCATGGTATTAAGCAAATTAAGATGACTTTGATTCTACTGATTAAGAAAGAAATTGAAGTTGGCTTTTGTTGGGGACTTTATGCTGTACATGATTGTCAAAGAGCGAGAGTTATGTTTGCTTCAACTTACTATTATTATACTTCAGAGCTTATAATCAATTTAAAGAGAATTTCTTTTCAATGCTACAATGATCTGTTTTGATCCTGCAGGACTGGCCATATTTAGCTGTATGCCTACTACATTATCAAGTGGAGTGGCTCTTACTCAGGCATGCCTACTATTCTTTTCTTTCAAAGTTGTTGCTATTGATGATAATTTTTCCATCAATGGAAGGTTGTGACTGCAGCTTTCTGGAGGGAATTCTGCTCTCGCTCTTGCAATGACAGTGATATCAAATCTGTTGGGAATTCTACTTGTAAGTTATAATATTGTTTTTGGCAGTATACTGTCAGATCGTATCTGTGGATTCTCAGAACAAGAGAGTTGTGCAAGATGTTACCCTGATCTTTCTTTTCCTCGGCATCCTTTTCTCTGCTATGATAATTTTTTCTGTTTTTCCTTCAAGAGCTGCCGTTGATGCAACTTCTAGTTCTGTTTCCTTTAATTTTCCTCTTTTTATCATCGAAAATACCAGGAAGCTTTTCTTTGGTTTTTACTTGAATGAAGTTTGTAGTGCTCCTCATGCTTTGTACTTTGGTTGTTGCAATCAATAAGTGTGATTTTATTATTAACAATAATTATGCGGCATTAGTTCCTAAGAGATGGCTCCTTTTAACAACTTGTCTAGAATTTTGTATGTAATATTGTAGAGCAAGCTTGGTCCTGCTTTCTAGGTATGAAACTTAGTATTTTCACATGCATGGCTGCGGATGCATGATAGTTTTCTAAATACTTAGAAGCATCGATTTGCTATTTTTTTTATTTGACATGATTGTGGTTTTATATGACTTGAGCTCAACCACTGTCATAACTGTACAACAATCTGATGGCATGATTAATATCTTTTTAGGTGCCATTTTCTATCTCCAAGTTCATTGCTGATGGAGTTGGAGTCACTGTTCCGACTAAGCAATTGTTCAAAAGTCTAGTTCTCACACTTCTTATTCCATTAATCCTGGGGAAGGTATATCATCCTCGCAGAAATTTTTTATATGCAGAGTTCGTTGATGCCTTTATTATTGGAACTAGTATATTACCTCATGAATATGGATCAGGTCCAAACAGGCTGTCAAGAGCTGAAGATCTTCCTGGTTACTGATTGCAAAAAGATATGTCGATTAGCAATAGAAAAAATAAGGCTAATGCTTAATTAAATTCATCAGCTGGGGGTACTTAAAAATTAATGTTCTGTTTCCAATCAAATGACATAACCTTTATGTTTGCTGCCATAAAACAAATTGTTGAATGTTGTGAAATAATTCAATGTCTTCACTAAATAGTGCTTGCATATATATTTCTGGTTTTTTGCTACCTAGCAGTATATAAATGAATTGGAGGATTAGTTTTTGATTCAAGAGCCCGCATTACCAGATAGGCAGATACCTGTTTGGCTCTTGCATGATCTCTTCATGATCTGCTTGTCAGTTTTACTACTATATGTACTTTGAAAGTATCCCTTTGGGTGAAGAGTTCAAAGAGTATAAAGACTTCTAACGGTTTTCTCATTTTGACTGTGGAAGTATGGTCAATGGAATGTGTAATCTAATCTTGTCACCTCCAAGTTTATCTATCTTATCTTTGTGGCATTGACAAAAATTCCTACCTTTTGAATATCATTAAGCTTTTCCTTCTGTTACATGTTTCTTTCTGGAAGCCTTCATGTGGCAGTATGAAGATTCTGTCTTTGTTATATTACTGTTTCATGAAACGACAGGAAATGGTTATTATCCTTCAATAAATTGATTGCTTTTCATTTAGATAATCTAACATCATGATTTGTTTTGCCCTACAGATTTTGCGAGAATCTTTCAGAGGTATGTGTCAACAATCATTGTTTACAGTTATTCTAGAGAATATGGTGAAGTTGGTGGATTTTGAGGAACTGTCAGTTTATAAGCTGAATTGATTCACTTCACTTGTCATAGGGAAAAATTGCCTGTGAATAATGCTGAGACCTGAATAAATATGTGTGGATAAAGTATCTGGCATTTGCTACAATGCTGAATAAAAGTTATATCTCAGGCTTGGCAGATTTTGTTGATAACAACCGGAAGCTTTTCTCAAAGATCAGTGCGGTTTTTCTCAGTTTAGTAAGAACCCCTAATTTTTCTAGCTTTAATTTTCTGATCTGTAGAGGGTAGCATAATTTTCTTATGACAACCAGTAGACAGTGTGATTTCTCAGTTTACTGAAGGAAGTAAAGGGCCATAGCTCTATTTTCGGTGAATGTCAGAAACAAATGAACGCATCATGGTCCATGTCGACTGTGGTTACTAAAAGCTTAGCAAGCATATGATATATCTGAAATTCTTGGATACTCCAGAAAGTATCTGGCTTTGTAATAGCTTTGTTCCTTTATTTTGGCTACACTAGCTTCCTTATTTCTGCCATTTCATTTCTCTAATTATGAGAAACAGAGCTGCGGAAATAACATTGTGATTGTGAAGCTCATATTTTCTATCAATAAGACTAGCATGAATTTCTACAGCTTTTACTAAGGCCAGTTATGTATTCAGCCAATATCTACTATTGGAGTTACGTACTTCGAGCTGAAATCCGCATGAGATCAACTGTAAGCCATGTTTTAAGGGATCTCTCGACAGGGTTGCTTCATTTTGTGATTTAGGGTGATTTTGAACAAGACTTTAAAATGGCTAGTAAGATGTACGACTACATGGAGAAGCTACAATTGGCGTTAGGAAGTCAAGCTAGCCGTTTTTCTTCTTAGAGAAGAGATAGAGCTCTGTGAGGGTTTTGTTGCTAGTCTAAAAGACTGACTGGAATTGCCAAATAGGAAACTTAACTGTTTAGGTTTTTCAAGGCCACTGATTTGTGCTCTGCAAATTATGTGATATGACTAGAGAACGATTTCCGGTCAAATGGTTGCTATTTATGTAAATCTGCTTTTGCATAGCGCCTCTGGCTACCCTAGTATGTTGTGCTTACTCTTGTGGGGTAAAAGATCGGTCATATGATATAGTGATTTAGTGTATGGAGGTTGTCGGTGATGAGGATGTCGACTATTTTAGTTGATCTCGTACAGGTTGTTTGGTGATGACATACTGCTTTTCCTATCCTTCCTGGCTCTTCCTTTACCCTTTTCACTACTCTAGAAGCACTCTGGTTGATCTGCAGTAATGAGCAAAGATTTATAGCGATTTGCTGGAAGAAAACTTTTTCTTCTCTTAAATGTTGGCAGTAAAGAGACATGGTGGCAAAATAGATTGATATGATATGCTAAAAGCTCTGTCTAGTGCTAAGCTTGATAAATTTGTGCTTCTTACCTAGGTGGGCACCGAAATGGCCAATTATCAGATTTCTTGCTTTTGTTGGAGGACGATAATGTGTCCTCGATGACTTTGTTGAACATGATACTGTCTTAAAGTGAAGGTCCACGTTCATGAGTCAATTCCAGTTTGGATATATCTCACTGGATGTTGTTTTGCAGGTCCCATGGATACAGGTGAGCAGGTCAAGGTCACTTTTGCTGTTGGTCCAACCAGCAATGTTTCTTGTTGCGATTGGGATGGGAACGTATGCATTTCATTCTTGTCCAATATTTCTTTTACTACCTTTTTATGATGCCAAATATCCAGCTATTTACCACTTTGCAATTATATCAGAATTTCCAGATTAACGAGTGGAGTTTTTATGGAGTGGGTACCATTAAAGTATTTATAGTAAGATTACCTTTTCAAGGATGATAAACTTGCTGCTTTTTACACGTGAAACTACTTTTTTACATTGTCAAAGCACAAAATTGTAGCTACCAGTGGCCTGATTTTGCTGTAGTACTTTTCTGATTAGCTTATCTTGAAATTGTTCCTTCTTTCTCTGCTCTTAAGCTTCTCCAAAGAGTAGCTGATAGCCCATTGATAATTCAACTACTGAAAACATTCTAGTTCTTTTTTAGATGGTAGAACAAACATATTATCTGACCATAGATTACTAACCAAAAAAAGCTCATATGATTACCTTGCTTTTCATCTTCTCTAGATTTTGCAATTGATGTGTCTGTCTGAAGTTCCTTGGTCTGGCCACCATTATAGGAAGCCAAACCATCACAGTTGTCTCCCGGTGGCTACATCTATAGCCCAAGTTCACTAGTGTAATTTTCAATAAGATTCATTATTGTGATTTAACTGCATTGAGATATGACATGATTGTTATATGTGACTGCAGGGTTCTTCATCTCATCCTATTAGCATTTAATGCTTTTGCTATACAATGTCTCTCAACTGTCACTGGTGGTGGTCAATCTGTTTTTGCAAAGAAAGAAAATGCAAATGCTGCTCTTCTCGTGGCAAGCCAGGTAATCTACCATACATATTCAGTTAACTTCTTTTCTTGTGCAGTCTAAGCAGCCTAAGTCAAAAGTAAGAGAGTAATACACGCTCAATCTGAGTCAAGGTAACAGAGGAACTATACAAGTGTGTTAGATGCAGATATAGAATATCATTGAGATCCTATAAGTTTCTTACTTAAGAACATATACTAAGTCTAATGTTTGATATGTAGGATATTCTGGGATTTATTGTGCCAATTATTTATTCCTCTAAAAGATGATAGCTTCTGTTTGGTTAGAACAAATTTACCATTTGGTATTATCATTCTGCACCAGTTCCAACTCTGCAGAGACATGAGAAAAGCTAAAAAAACAAAGAAAAAGGAAAAAAGAAAGAAAGAAGGAAAGGCCCATGGCATTTGATTGGACATTATAAAACCATCTGGACATCCTATAGCGGTAGCAGCCATGTTGCTGATTCTTTGAACGAAAGTCCCATGGCATTTGGATGGAGATTATTTTTGTTGGATGCACACTTATACGAAATTGGAACTATACATGGCATGAATTTTGTGGCAAGTTGGAGGAAAATGTCCATTAGGATGAGCATCTTGGTTTGTTTAATCAGTTAAGGAATCGGCTATTAATAACCTGTACCCTTGTATATTTTTTTAAGGAACACAGTGCGTATACTTTTCGCTCTATGATTTGAACTTGTTAGCTGGATAATGCAAGGGTTACTTCCTCAAGGATGACAACACTGAAACTTTGACCACACTCTGCAGAAAACTCTACCAGTAATGGTGGCTGTCGTTGAGCAGCTCGGTGGTGCATTTGGTGAATCTGGTCTGCTGGTTCTTCCTTGTGTTGCGGCACATTTAATTCAGGTAAATTTTTTTATTGTTTCTATCTGTCACGGGTTTGGACAATTGATTTCCTCACTTCTCTTTCATGTAGATTATAATGGACTCCTTCCTCGTAAATTTCTGGCTGCGAAAGGATGCTGCTTCCAACAGTGTGAAGGTAGCTTGATGCTTAAGCATGTGCTCTTACCAGATTCATTCTGTATGTTGTATATTAATCTGCTTTTTGCAGATGTGAGTGTTGATTACTGCATTGGAAATAAAATTTTTCAATTGATAGGGCAGTCGGACTCAGATAGGCAAGGATTTCGATGCAGTGGTAATCTGTGCTCATACTCTTCTTGTGTCATTATAAACAGCAAACCGAGTCAAATTCGTTAGATGCTGGCACGCGTGGCAACTATCTTTTGCTGTACTTTTGGATGAAAATTCACAATTACAATTCTGTTAGAAAAAAACAAAACAAAACCAGTTACCCGAAAACCAGTAACGAAGTGTTTGCTGCTGGACTAAGCTTCATATGTGGCGGTACATAGAAGGTAGTTGACTCATTAGAACTTTAATTGGTAATGTTATTCTGCTAACAGTCAGGGATCGTCATACCTAAACATTAAATCGGGAAGCTATATCACTTCTTCATCAACAAGAGAATGGATTTGCGGTTGGTGATGCACAGTTTAAGCGCTTTAAGAGCGACAGCTCTTGAACTAAAATCAAAGTAGAGTGAAAACAGGTCCTAGGAATCAGTTAAATGGACTGCTAACTCATATATGGAGGATAAGTGTTTGCAATGTGAAGTGCATTCATAGAAGTTTTGCTGAAGAGAACAGCTGACCAAGAATAGTAGACTCTTGATACCAAAACTAGATGTGGTCACGAACTGCAATTAACAATCTGTCAAATAGAAAACAACAGTCTCAATTGAAACTACACACCTATGGACGTCCAGCTAAATTTTGGCAAAGACTGCATTTGAGAGTTCAGCAGTGGTATTTCATTGATGATGTGAGCGGAATATTTGCCTCGTTGAAGATAAGGCTACAAAACAAATGAGCTTGTGATGCCAAGGACAAACTACAAGTACACAAATTCAGAAGGAAACGGAAAGAGTGCCTTCTCAATTATTTCGAGGGCCTTCCTTTATGTCGCAAGAAAAGGTACTTTGAAGTTTACAGATGAAAGAGATATGAAGCTGAAAATGTTTATTTGGGCAACCCCGTTTTAGGGTCAATTAGAGCCTGACTTTCATCTGAGAGCACAACCGGACCCCTCCCAGGTCTTGTGCAGATGAAGTAACTGACTTCACCTCTGTTCTTCTGGGCGGGGATCTTATCCTTGATCTCTGGAGGAGGTGGCAAAGCTTCCACATCATCTATTCCTTGGATTCCGGCATCTTTCAGGATTGACTTGTCCCCAATAACATAACTGTGGATAAAGAGGATCCACGTGATTAGTTACCAATTCCCAAACTTCTTTGAATCTTTCAGAGAGAACAATGGCAGGATGACTTTGCAGAAAACTAGAGTGTACCTGTTCATGTCGGTGTCTGCGCTGGGAGGGAAGAAGTACAGCAGTCGCTGAAGCAACAGCGTAGCTGCCTTTCTATTGCGTGCAATGAGAACTGCATTTGGCCCCGCATCAAAGGTGTACGCGACCTGTCATATCTTCCAGTATTAGTCACACCAATTTAAGGCATTTCAGCTACTATGTTGAGGAACAAATTAAAAATGCCGTATATAATTAGGCTTTTCCAGACCTTTTCAGTACAATGAATCTTATCCTAAATCAACCCAATTAATACTGAAGCTAGAACTCTTGCTTTCTAGGTATTACTGCATGGCCATCAGTACTAGAGGCAACTGGATGAAAGTGAGAAAAGAAAAAAAGGAATTATCTGATCAAGATAAACTGTATTTGTCAAATCTAAAGAGGTGCCCTGTCCTCCTAGAAGTATGCTATTTCGGAAACTGAGATGGCATTACAACTCAAAATATATAATGTCATTCTTTAAAATATGAGGCACCATTCAACAAGATTCAGAGGTAAAAGAACTTGTTCAAGTAATGTATTGGCTTCTGAAAATTTTCTATTAGATGAACGAACTTGTTGAACCTCATCAGTTTTGTGTAAACACCAGAAAATATTCCTCTGTGTCTTCAAGCATATACCACGATCGGTACAAGGAACTTCCAAATAGCTATTATTTTTAAGAGCAATCTCCATAAAAAGCAGTTCCAGGAAACATTTTATCATCTTTTCTTTGTATTGACAAGAATGTAGATGCAAACTTTAGAATTTTGAATAAGTTACCCTGAAAATAATGATGCCAATTTCCTTGTTCTTTTCTGATTAATACTGACAGTTTAAAATTACATCAAAGATTTCTACTATCTCAACATGCCAAGAGGAACTGTCCAAGTTAATCTGCTAAGTAAACACGAATAGAATGATGATCAACAAGAATGTGCCTCTACTTAAGCGATTTGAATACCTGAGGTGCTTCTTCTGAGCGATTCCATTTCTCAACACAGCCAATTACCCTGGAACATAGCGCTAAATATTTTTAAATGGAGAACAACACAGACGGTTATCACAGGGAAGCAAAAGTATGAACACACCAGTAAAAACCAGTAGTATGAACTTAAGTTGCCTAGAAAATGGTATAACTTGCCTGTGGGATGTGTCATTCATGTAGAAAATTGGAGGACATGTATCGAGGCACACTGCATGGAACTGATTACTGTCAGCACAGGCTAATCCTGCAAAAGATGCAAAGTCACGATTTTGAATGGCTTCTTCCATCTTTACAATCCGCTTGGGCACCACCTCCTGTTTCATTTAAAACAGAGGAGAATGAGTTGGTGAGTGTTTACTTCAGAAGCTTAAAGAAACTGCAATTGAAAGCTTCAAGTCAAAGGAAATGACCATAGGATGCCTGGAAAAAACATTAAATTCATTCTCGAGAAGCTACACAGGTGGAATGGTAAGAGAGTTCATAAATTTTTGTTATGCAGCTTATGAAATTCTCCAACCATCCAACTAATGTTAAAAGCTTGAGGAATTTTCCAGACATGAACAATTAATGACCACTTCATTGAAGGAGAAGAAGAGATACCTTTGCTCTATGTTGCAAAAGCAAACTTGTTTCAACACTTTCACGCATTCCTGAGGTGCTACTTGTTTCCTTTTGCCGGGAACTTACCTGAAATCACCATGCAAAGACTGCATAAGATTGAGGACGCACAGGAATCATGGAGCAATAATAATAACATTTGAAATGTTAGGGTGAATGAAGGTTGTAGGATCATGAAGCTCATACTAAACTAATGATAGGGCACATGACAAAGATATAGTCACTCATCAGATTTTCATGCTACAAACAGGAATAAAACTGTCCATTGAGTACAGAAAGTCTCACTGTTGGATGGAAAAACCGTAATAAAACAATGTCAAGAGAGTGATAGAAAATCTCCTACTAACGTTTCATTCCAGCCAATATAAAACTAGCTGAAATAATTAACACCAGATGTACTGTACACAAAAGGCCAAGTTAAACTTAAGTACCCACGTATAAGACCATGCAGAGAGCAATTGAAACCTGAATCCAATGCAATATCTAAATTAAAAAGAAATACATAACAAACAGCAATGACGGGTCATCAAAAGATGCAAAACTGCATAAAAGAAAAATACGAGTAAATTAACAAGGGGAGTAATCCCACTAGGAAAGATTATACATTACAAATACAAGGCGCTAAGCAGTAAAGAAAACATTATGAAAGATCACAGAAGTAGAAGAAAAATTAAATAACGATCAACTTACACTCGAACAAGGAAAGAAACGACAATGATAACTAGAACTACATCAATGCAGTAGTAACAGAGAATTCTATCTTAGACAGATAAGGCCCAATCAATCAAATGCCAAGGAAGAACAAATCCAGACCAACAATCAAATTATAGGTGACGAAATGGAAGGGGATTGCAAGTTCTCAATAGAAAATACGAGGTATGACTATTAGCCTCTTTGCTGACCTTTTTTTCCCCATTAAGGCTAAAAGCTTATTCTCTACATCTTAAAAAATCAACTGGTAGGTCACAGAAAACATCACTAGTATAATAAAAAGAAACATACCACAGCAATGATAATAACAAGTTCATCCCAGTGTTTTTCATCTGCCAGCTGAACAGCGATGCTGTCACTCCCATTTTCCTCCTTAAAATCACAAGATATTAATATCAGAATCGCAGAGAATAATGGCATAGCAAGCTTCAATGGATGGTAAGGTGTGACTTCAAATCAAACTCACTTTTCCCATTATCCACTTTACGAATCCACCATATAAGCTGCGACAAGCACTACCTGAACCTTGCCTAAAATGTAGAAAGAACAATTTATTAAGGAATGCACCAAGCTACCCCTCAACCCACCAATTGAAAGATTGAAACATGCAGACAGAAGGGCACACGCTACCTAGCAATAGCAGAAAGTTGGCTGTGATCTTCTTGAACATTCATTAACTTTGCAAGAGCAAACACTGCAAAAAGAGACAAAATTACAAATTATAGAACTGTCCATTCTTTTCCTAATAAAAGAAAACATGTCATAACATAATCTTGAGGCAAGAAAACAATGTCAACTATAAAAAGAATTAAGTGAAACCATAGATTCAACATATGGGACTATAAAAGTCCAGTATACATCAACTAGATATAAGTCTAAGGAGCAATGATACTTATAGAGACCCTTTCTAGTTTTGATCTGTATCATGGGCATTCTTGTATATCCTTGATGTAAAATTAAATCCACCAAAATTCCTTGTTCTTTTCCTTTCCTAGTTTTATGCACCTAACAATCTCTAAATATTACAATCACTCTGTCTTTCCTTTAATTCTGTCATCTACCCGCATGCTTCTAAACCTATACAATTCTGTCTTTTGTAAGGATATTTGAGAAAATTTCAACTAATTTTACTGCTATAAATTAACCGAGCTTATGTATACATGCCCGATGCAAACATGCAGCAGTGCACAAATAAGCGTTCGCATATGGTATTTGTTAAGGCATTATTTGTGTTTCTTATCCTAGTCCTTAGGATGATAGCCATGTTGCCTCCTCTTTTGTTTAGCAATGTTCTATCCATATTCTTGCTCCTGAGACTCCAACTCAGCGGGTGAGGTAGATACATATCATTTGGGCTAGAGAAGGGTTAAATTCAACTGAAGCATAAGGTCTTGCTAAAGACCACTTCTTATTCAAAAGTACATCACAAAATTTGACCAA